GATGGCCCAGAGCCATGCCTGAGTGATTGTCGCCCGCTCCAGCCAGGCGGCCCGTGCCAAGCATGAACGTTCCAAAAGAATAAGCTTGCCGCTCCAGTTCTTGATTTCTGAAGCATTGTTGAGCTGAAAGTGTTGTCGATGCTGTTTGCATTTCTCCTCTGCATGGTTGCTTGATGAGTACAGGTAGGTGGCCATTGCAAAAGAAGCATTGCCAAAATGAAGCATCTCAGGGCTAGGATTTGTGCTTGTTGACAAGCTCGCGCCTGGCATGTTTGTCATTCTGTTTTGACTTGAAGCTCGTCTTTTTCAGAAGGACGGTGAGATCAACAGCATATCATTGAGAATCCTGTAGAAGAGGGATTGTATGCAAAATGCTTCCAAGCACAGGGAAGATTGATTGCTGCTGCTTGTTTGGATTCATGGGACAGCAGTTGCACGAAAAGCGGCTTGTGCGGGCCAGTGGCCAGTGGCATGCGCTTGTTCAGCAGTAGGCTTGGACCAAGGTGAGGCGGCGCCAGGCTGCTGGTGAACTGGCTCCACGCCACGCAGCACCAATGTGCGCATTGTCACAGCCCGGCTGAGCTCACACTTGCTGGAGATGGAAACAAAAGCTGGTGGCTATCGAACGGTGTGGAATGAACAGCGTGGCAGCTGATGTGGCTTGCCGGCAGAGGCACTTTGATTCAGGGTTGTGTCGCCGTCTGGATGTGCTGCTTCTGAGGTACATGTGAGAAGCGGCTGTGTGGGGCAGTAGCGCCGCATGTTGCGGACTTGGCGCCAGCCTGTCAGAAAGCACTGTTCTCCAATGTCCGATAGCCGTTGAAGACGTTGTTTTACGCTTCTATAGCGAGTCTGTGGTTCTATCTTGCAGCAGCTCAAGTGCGAAACGGTTGGCTTTGCAGCGCTGTGCCCGGGCGTGAAGGTAGCTGATGGTAGCTGTCTCGGTTTTTCACGCGGTTGTTCATTTTGCAGTTTGTGATACTGCCGGAGAAAAAGAACATGGCATACAGTCTGGCGGAAAGTTGGGAAAGTGTGACAGCAGCAAGGCTGTGGGAAGTGAGCAGATGGGCAGGTCAAACAAGGGAACGTGTGTATGGCTGTGGCTGGCTCTGCCAGCCATGCTTTGGATTGTGATGAAGCAGCATCTTATGGTGCAAACAATTTCTTTGCCACATGGCAAAGCTCAGTGCCTATGACCCAAAGGCTGTTGTCGCTGTGTGTACAGTAGCTTGGGTGACTTCCCAACGCTGGTCATGACAGCCTATCATGAGCACTTGCCAAAAGAGCGCTAAGCCTGGTAAGCGCCTGGTGTCGCGCGTGGTTGGGCTTGATGTACAGAGTGCAGGGTTAGCTTGTTGGTTTGAAAAGATGCTGTGAGCTGCGCGATTGATATATTTGAAATTATTTGAATGGTTTTATCAACAGAAACCGGATTCACTGTGCTTCAAAGATTTGTCCAACCCCCACTCTGCCGAGGTCTCGTCACTGTGACCAGACATGAAGCGGCCTGGGCGACCGTGGTTGGCGCTCCAGCGGAGAAAAACGACTATGGGAGGATGAGTGGCAACCTGGGAACCGCACATTTCAGGATTTATACATAGGAAGAAATTATTTCCTACATTACCATTTATTCCTGAGCATAGATGCAACGTCATTTAAAACAGCGATTATTTGGAATGGAGTTTGGTGTATTTCCTCATGACCATCATGACCATTGATCATTGGCCAGCTTGTGTTTTTTTTTTTCATTTTTTCTACCACTGACTCACTGACCAGCATTTTCCTGCTAAGCACCAATATTCATTACCCTCTAGTTTTCATTAAGAAATATAAATTCAGATGGAAATCCATGGGTTTAATTGTTGGGTTTCCACATCTTCAGTGATTTACTGATACTCCCCATGAAGCTCTGCCGCCAGCTGCGGACAAAGTGCTGCCGCTACCATCGGATGTGCCAGCGAAACCTCAGGCTGCGAATCTGTTGCTCTGGTGATTGCACATGTAAGTATATATGGATATGATATGATATGATATGATATGATATATAAAGAGATATCATATACATATATGTATACATACGCATAGGTGACCGGTCTAACTATTGAAGTGTCATGCGATTCCACTGAAGAATCATTGGTTTCTGAGTTTTTTTGTGCCTTTTTTTGCCCCAGGCCATTCCGCCGAAGCCCAAAGGCCTCATGGGCAAACTTACTGTGGGGATACTTACTGCAATTGGGAAAGCCCCGGGATTGGAATATGGGGGTATCTTCAAATCATCCATTTCAATAGGATTTTCCATTCTAAATCATTGGATGTTCCATTATAAACCATCCATTTTGGGGTACCCCACATTTTAGGAAAGCCCCAAATGCGGTCCACACCTGAGGCCATGGGCAAGGACTTGGCCCAAAATGTTCGGGCCCCCGAGGTCGCTGTGGATCTGTGGATATGTTGGGATTTGTTGATACAGATATCATTTAGCAGATCTATAATCCATCAATGTTGGCATTTTTGATCTATTGATGTTGCTCATTTAAAAGAACTAGTTTGCGATAGTTTTCTCATCAATGAGCATATTAAATATCATAGTGGAGTTATGCTTTATTAATGTCATTTAGTCATTTATATTCGCTTTGAGCAACTCCAAAAATAGATAGAACAATGTGGACACCTGGGATGTATGGGCAAAAAGCATCTTTGACATTCTGGAACAACTTTTCTATCCTTTTGGGAATCTTGACATGTCTTTATCTGTGTTATACATGTTCTGAGGCTGTCTCGGAATTCTTCGGTCCGCGCCTCTGATGGGTGAGGCTTCAGGTTGCTTCAGGTCACAAGATCGCCAAGTTGATGGCAGTTGGATGAGTTGTAATGAGTTGTTTGTGTATAATTTCAGTAGGTGTATATTCATGGAATCTGTATGTTTATTATGTATATATATACATATTATATGGATAAATATTCTTCTCTAGATAACACACACAAACATAATCTATATATATATACACATATTGTCTATAAAGATATATTTAGATGACATCGTGCGCATGATTCATATCTACACATAGAGCCTTTTACTGTTGTATCCAGCAAAAAGAAGGAGGGGTAAATCCTGGTGCAGCCCGATCCTTGGACCTGAGGAAGTGCGGGAGGAAAAGGTGATCCGGATTTGCCAAGGCGTGTGGTGGTGGCTTTTGATGATTGCAACAGATTTCAAGCCCTAGTCCTAGAATTGGAGGATGGGACAACTTTACATCAACCCCCCTATAAATTCTGGTTAAAAAACAATGCTTTCCTGCAGATGTTCCCGAAAAAAATCAGTCGACCTATGATTTCATGGATGAACGCTGGGGATGGCCTCGGTATTTGGATGGCTCATTGTTTCCCAAGAGGTTTGGCAGCGCTGCACAGGCAATGTTCAGAGCTTTATGGTCTCTTCCAAAGGAAGAACATCATGGACGGGAAGCTGAAAGCCGTGGCCAGGGATCTGGTTGGGATCTGGTTGGGATCTGGGGAACCTCGGGAAGCTCCCAATATGACCTGATTGCAGGAGGCACCCACTGATGCTACTCTGCGAGTGAATATAGGTGCCTGGCGGCCTGGCGGTTGGAGCCCGAATCTGGCTGAACCTATGACACAAGATCGTCTCTGAATATGTGAGGGATGATGATCCCAATTGACGGCTGTTTGGATGGCTTTACACCGCCAAGCAGATAACAACATTCAAAGCTCATTTTGCAATTAGTAGTCCCAATCCGATCGATTTTCGCCAGGCGTGCCCAAAGGCCTTGCCGATTTGGAAGATGACAAGGCGGGATGGGTTTGGACATGTTTGGATTAAGTACATAGACTAGCTGGAACATTTGTTGCATGCCACATGAGTCTCCCAATCTCTATGGCTGGCCCAGCATTCTCGGGCAGTCGCCAGGTGATTTTTGCAGGGAAAGCCACGGAACTTTCACCGTGAAATACCGCAGGAATATGGTGTGTCGTGTCTTCCACACATCTCCCCAAAGATGACCTACAGCTGATTAACATCATATCAACATCCACTGACAGATCTGACAGGATTATAAATAACATTATAATGACCTTAACATCATATCAACATCCACTGACAGGATTATAAGTGACCAACATCCAATGTTTTTTGGTTTTCAGGCACCAGGAGGCCTTTTCATCCAGCATACGACGTCCCACCAGTGGTGCGCCTTCTGGCCTGGTGGCCTGGTTTACACACATAGTGTGACTCCTTTTTGTGGGGCCCAGAGTGTCTCCAACAGGTACCATTGCTTCATTTTGGGCAAAAAGGACATCTATGTTGGCGCATGCTGTCGCTTTGCACAGCTTTGATGTCACATGGGTTGGGATGAGCTCATACGACAGCTTCTTCTTACTTAAACTCAGGCAAACCATATCTGTGGGTCAGTGAGATTGTGCGTCTTCTGTTCTCGCAACTGGACAAAACTCTGGCTTTGTTCAGCATTGTCGATGTCCAACACTCCAATCAACGGTGTCCGTTTAGAAGCTGCTGAATATCAGGAGGAGGCACAATTGCAGCAGGAGGCTCAGCTCCAAAAGGGAGAAGCTCCTGGAATCGTTATTCCAGTGTGGAGAACGAACGATTGAGATTGATTTTCTTGATGGAGGGCTCCATACCTAGAGAATATAATGCTATTTAGATTCTTTATATCATTTTAATCATTTTATATCTAATTGAGTTCAGTCAAGTGTTGCAGGATTCTTTGTCTTGTGCAGGAAGAATTTGCCATTTCAATATGTGGTGATGCAGAACAATTGATGTGGGATGTGGATTGCAGTAACCCAAAAACCACCGCTCCGGTGCAAAATCATGAATTTCGGTACTGTTGAAGCTCCCAAAATTTGATCCTGTTGAAGGCGATCCATATCCAGGAGTTTTGCAGTCCATCTCCAGTCCAGAAATCCCCAGGTCATGGTTTTCTTGGTGGACCATGGCGCATTTCCCAAGGTGTGTTGCCATGGAACCGGACGAAATCTTCAAAGCCAGAGGCACCTGTGGAGTGCAAGCGCAGGGGACCCAGCTCCAAGGGCGAGAGGGAAATAGAGATATATAGGGACCCTTATAGGGATATTCTATGATATTATGACATTGAAAAATCCGAAAAAATCGGGAAATGCTCCAACATGGCCCATTCAGAATCCTTAAAGAGCCGTAAAGATCCATGAATTTTGGTTGGAATGGTCCACATTCTGTGTGATAGCAAGGTGCGACTTCGACCGCGTGACCTTCAAGACTGAGTGCCTTACCAGGTGCTTCCTGCAGATGGCCGGCCTCATATACTTCCCCATTGATAGTGATTAGTCCATTCATAAAAATGGAAGAGATATTTCATTATTTCATTTCATGATATTTACCCATATAGACCAACAAAAACTCACAACAGATTCACATGTCAAAGTCTTGCTGGAGAGAATTTATCCACAAATCTCCACAGGGTTGTGATTTATAGTGAGTTAGGCTGCCCCTCAAACGCCAGGGTGGTTGGCCTCATGGGGCGTCCTCAATGTGTCTATGTGGGACACCATATGGAGCTCCATCCCAAAGACATCATGGGGAAGCCGGCGCCCTATTCGGCCAGAGACTTACCGGGGACCCCGGTGACCAATGCCCCAAAATTCCCCAAACTTTTTTTGAGGCTTTCCCACAACCTCAAAAATATGAACAGTTCACATAAGTTCACATATCATATCACTAATGGCTTTGGTTTTCCCTTTTTTTTTCTCCACCAGAACGGTCCAAACGACTGAGTCATAGTCATGCCCCATTGCTAAGGTCTACATCCTACAGTGCCCACTGCTTGCACCGCCGGGCCTTGGGCAACGGTCCCGGGACCGCGGCAAGGCGTTTCTGGAGGTCCAAAGTGACCGGGGTCACGTCGTAAAAAGGTGAAACCAACGGGACAGGTGGAGGTTGGACCGTTGAAGATGGGAGGAGCACACACGCTGGTACCTGTATGTATTTTATTGTACAGTATTCGGTACACAACCGACATCGCGCTTAGTATTGATTGAATAGAAGATGATTGAACAATGCAGGAACCCCTCACATTGACTTTTCAGAAGCACAGTTTCCGGTCGATTTTCCATCCTTCCAATCATCCCAATATTTCAGGTCAAACAACTCTGGCCATTTTTGATCGCAGCTTTCTAGCCGTCGCCAAAGGCGACCGCAAGAATGTTGCACAAGATGAAAAACACACGGCCAGTCACGGGTGAAAGGGGCTGCCGATCGAAGTAGCTGGATGCCAACCAAATATATTCACTTCAAACATGTTCTGTAGGATTTTCAACAGATGCTGTGATACACAAGCTGGTAACAACAATGAGCAACAGTCAATTATGGTTTACCAAACAACACACCGTGGATGGCAGGCTTTGATCATTTTCTGCTTGACAACTGACCTTTCCAGCGACACACCGCCAGCTTATTTGGAGATGACGACATTGCTGCCAGTCTGAGAGCCCAACGGCCCTGAGATGCATCATGGAGGGGAACCCCCAGAGCAGAACAGCCACGCATACCCGGTATAGCCAAGAATGCTTCTGGTTGGCAGAAGCAAAAATGCACATGTTCGATTTTCACCAAGATGTTGTGGCCAGTTCCTAGCCATATATGTGGGGTTACAAACCCGATTAGCCAGCCAAGTTACTCCCAGTAGCACAATCCCATAGAAAAATGACTATAGCCGGCCCAGGATTCCTTCAGAGTGTCTGCCTTGGGTCTCTGCCTCAACAATGTGCTACAGCCCTTTTTGTTGGGTAGTAGAATATTTGACACAAGACCAGGAAATGCCAGAAAACTTCGGTGAAGAACCCCAAAATGGGTGGTATGGGTCAGGAATCAGCCCCCCCAAATGATTTTCTACTCAAGATGGCCAACATTTGTGGTCCTCATGGGCACCTTTACCCCATTTTGATCCATGTCCAAACTGTGAGGTGCTCAAGCGGACAGCACGAAGCGCAGTGCGCCAGGGCATTCTTTTGGCACGGCAAAAGGCGCCAGTTGCTGATTTCGGTGTCTTCAGAAGGCAATCCAAGGAACAAATCCTCTCCAATGATTCCAATGCATACACTAATGTACACTGCATATCCTCTCACCAAACTTTCACATGGACTTATTGTTTTGTTGCTTGCATTTGGTGCAGGTGGCTGTTCGTTTTGGACAAATGTCGTTATACTGCCGGGATACAATCAGTAAGACATGTGGACACTGTGGACACTGTGTACACTAGAAATCAGACACAGAAAGTTCAGGGCCATCTCCAAGACTGGCTCAACTCTCTTAATTTTAGAGCACAGCTGGTTGCTTCGCCAGTTGGGGTGAAGCTGTTTATCTCCAAAAAGTTGGAGAAGACCAGCAAGGCGGGGGAAGGCGGAAACTTTTCAGTGAAACCAACTAACCAACTTCTAGCTGAAGTCGTTGTATGTAGGATTTTTTTGGGGTTTAAAATGTTTAAAGTTGAACAGCTGGAAAATGCTGACAGGACTTTGGATTGCGATCTGCCAAATGGTTGCCAGTTTTAGTTCTCGGCCAGACCGGAACGGTCACTCCTGGACCAGTGTATCACGTGCCATCCACAGCACGGCACCTCAGGGACGGATCAACCAACCGCCGCAGATGGTGATGTCGTTGGTTTTCACCAAGGTCGGAGCAGCTCCCAGCTTCGGATTCGGCAGTGATGAGCAGAGGCACCATTTCGGAGCGTTTGTGGTGGACAAAAAACAGGTTCTTCATGGTTCTTCAGACTTTGCTGCACCAAAAATTGTTGTTTGGGAGATCCCTAAAGTCCTGTTGGGTCCTATGGCATCCTCCATTTCGTCCATTTCTTGGGATGTGTGAATTGGATCGTAACTTGGGATGCTCAGATACAGATACTTATGTTATCTTATGTTGCTTGTCACATACCCATGATATCCCATGATTGGCCCCTGATATCTTGGAAGGCTATAGGGCTCAACCAGCAGCGAATGAAACGAGGGTGAAGCCCTTGGAAAACATATGTCTTTCCATGCCTTTCCCATAACCGAGACCATCTCATACCTGTCTGGTAGATTCTTCTCAGAATTGGTTGACGGGAAAAATAGCAGGAGCCATCTTTGAGATTATTTGAATATATAATATATACGTCTGATACATTGTGATACATTCTGATACTGTAGCAACGACCTATGGTAAAATCCAGCAGATTTTCCCTGGAACCACCGTGAATTCTGTCAGGAAGCATCCTTCAGCCAAGTATCCTGACGCCAGCGTCGATTTGATCGGTGCCGCGTCGCAGCACCAATGGAGGAGGGTAGGATAACCATGGGTCAAAGGTGCTTCGCCTGCCAGGTGGATGCAACTAGTCACTAGTCAGTTGGTCTTATAGATCATGATAAAAATATATAAACAGCATAATATATAATTAACATCATTGTAAATCAATATCAACAAACATCAATCAATATCAACAACATAAATCAATATCAATCAATATCAATCAATATCAATCAACATATATCAGTATCAATCATGCCAAACCGTTATGAAACCTCTGGCAAGTCCTGGCTGATCTTCCCCAGCCAGAAGCTGGGACATTTTTTTCAGCCCAGGTGCCACAGTGGATACGCAGAAGGTGAAGTTCCACAGCACACCACAGGTGCACATGGGCAGTGAGTCGGGTGGCCCAAGATGGGAGAGATAGGGAGAGATCTTTTTTCATCTTTTTTCCCTTCAAAACCCAGAGAAATTGGATGGTGGGATTGAGAATCACTGGAGATGATATGGTTATTTCAGACATATCCAAAGTAATTTCCAAAATGATATGTGGATTATGTGGATTTGAAGATGTTGAACTTTGGATCCAGACCGCCTATTCGCCTAAAACAGAGCTCGGTGATCCCAGGGACAGATCCAGCTTGAAGAATGCAGAGATCATCCGCACCAATGCTGAGCTGGCGATGGGTTTCGTCCTTGGAGACTGAAACCCTTTCGCCATAGCTAGGTGGGAATGTTACAGGAGACGTCCCCGGGATTTCCCGGCAAGGGCAATATCGGGAGAACTTTAGAAACAACACAACTCATGAGACATGATTGATTCAGTACATATATGGATGTATATATATATATATATGTATATATATATTATATTATTATTGTAGAGCTTCGCACACCGGCGACGCTGGTAGGGGTCGGGGGAGGGAAAGAGAGAGGGGGATGTCATCATATGTCATCTGAACTTGCGAACATGACATGCTGAGGGTCGGCGGCCTATCTTGGGGCTATGTTGGCCCAGCTTGGGGCTATGTTGGCCCATCTTGAGGCTATGTTGGCCTATGCCTATGCGCACAAAGTGTTGTAATTTACAGCATTTTGCGCTGTGAGATGGCAAGAACCCGTGTAAATACAACAGTTTTAGTCCCCGAAAGTGGCTAAAACATTCTTATTTACAGAGTTTCGTTCACATCACGATCTTCGATTTTTTGAAAAACGTGTAAATACCAGCGTTTGTTGCATGCAGCAAGACAAAAAATCGGTTCAAAAAGTGCAAAAAATGCTGTAATTTACAGGGGAGTGGCCCCGTCACAAGCAAAAAACTGCGTAAATACCAGCGTTTCGGCGTCCAAAAGTTGCCAAAACACCGCTATTTACAGTGTTTCGTGCCTTCCACGTTTGCTTGAAATTGCAGAAACATTGTAAATACAAGCATTTTTTGCGATCAACCCGCCAAAAATGCTGTAATTTACAGTGTTTTTTTCCTTGGCTTTCAAAAACACTGGTATTTGCAGTGTTTTGTGCATCTCGGGTCCAAAAAGTACTGGTATTTACAGCATTTTCTGCGTTTGTGCATGGCTCCCGCCAACGACGTTAAAACGCAAAAATGCTGTAATTTACAGCATTTTGTGACTTCCGAAAAGCGAAAAATCGCCCGAAAAATGTGTCAAAACGGTATTTTTTTTCCGATTTTAGGACCTCCAAAACGCATCTTCAAATTTTACCATCTTTTTTCCCACCCCGAACCCCCAAAAACGTGAAAACCCCAGCAGGCTGAAGGATTTTCGGGGAGGGTCGGCAGAGGGTCGGCAGAGGGTCGGCGGCAGGGGCGCGCCCCCGGGTAGCTAAAGCTATGCTTAGCCACCACCACCGGACGGCATCGCCGGATTTTTGGGCTGACGCCCCTCGTCGGCTCCGCCGGACCACTCGGCCCTCCATTTCATCGCAGTGAGGGCGTGAAAGTTACTGAATGAGGACCTGCTTCAGAAATAAGTATATTCCTTAGGTTTTTTGGAACATATTTGTTGGAATAGACGTTTTTTGGGGAGCAAGTGAGTTCCCGAAAGCTCCTGCGAAGGGTTTTTCCTAAAGAACTGCTGCCGATTTCAACTTGTTACTTCGTGTAAAGGCGCCTCTGTGCAAAGACTTCTCTGTGTAAAAGCTTTTGTGTGTAAAAGTAAGATTCTCTGTGTAAAGACTTCTTTGTGTGAAAGCTTCTTTGTGTGAAAGCCCGTCTGTGTAAAGATTTCTCTGTGTGTAAAAGCTTCCGTGTGTAAACACTCTCTGTGTAAAGGCTTCTCTGTGTAAAAGTTTCTGTGTGTAAACGCGTCTGTGTGTTAAAGCTCTCTGTGTAAAGACTCCTTTGTGTAACAGCTTTTGTGTGTAAAAGCTCCAAGACGTTTGTGTGAAAAAGCTCCGCAGAGGAAAGACTTCTCTGTGGAAAACCTTCTGTGTGTAAAAAGCTACTCTGTGTAAAGGCTTCTCTGTGTAAAAGCCCCTGCGTGTGTAAAAGCTTGCTGTGTGTAAACGCTTTGGTGTGTAAACGCTCCTCTGTGTAAAGGCTTCTCTGTGTAAAAGCTTCTGTGTGCAAACGCGTCTGTGTGTAAAAAGTCCTCTGTGTAAAGACTTCTTCGTGTAAAAACTTCTGTGAGTAAAAGCTCCTAGACGTTGGTCTGCAAAAGCACCTTAGAGTAAAGACTTCTCTGTGTAAAACCTTCTGTATGTAAAAAGCTCCTTTGTAAAGACTTCTCTGTGTAAAAGCCCCTGTGTGTGTGGGTAAAAGCTTCTGTGCGTCTCCTCCCTCCAGCTTTCTTTCGGGTCACGCTGTCGTCCAGTTTCAATCTGCAACGTTGTTTCTTGTGGAAGAGTGCAAAATAATGCAAAGAACATGTGAAAGCATCGCGCGTTTAAAAATTGAACATAAACAGCGCACAAAGTGCTGTAATTTACAGCATATTGCGCTGTCAGCTGGCAAGAACCCGCGTAAATACCACAGTTTTAGTCCCCCAAAGTGGCTAAAACACTGTTATTTACAGGGTTTCGTTCACGTCACGATCTTCGATTTTTTGGGAAACGCGTAAATACCAGCGTTTTTTGCGTTCATCAAGGCAAAACATCGGTTCAAAAAGTGCAAAAAATGCTGTAATTTACAGGGGTTTGGCGCCGTCACGGGCAAAAAACTGTGTAAATACCAGCGTTTCAGCGTCCAAAAGTGGCTAAAACACCGCTATTTACAGTGTTTCGTGCCTTCCACGTTTTCTTGAAATTACAAAAACAGTGTAAATACCAGCATTTTTTGCGATCAACTTGCCAAAAATGCTGTAATTTACAGTGTTTTTTTGCTTTGCTTTCAAAAACACTGGTATTTGCAGGGTTTTGTGCATCTCGGGTCTAAAAAGTATTGGTATTTACAGCATTTTCTGCGTTTTTGCATGGCTCCCGCAAAAGACGTTAAAACGCAAAAATGCTGTAATTTACAGCATTTTGTGACTTTCGAAAAGCGAAAAATCGTCCGAAAAATGTGTCAAAACGGCGCTTTTTTCCGATTTTAGGTACCCTCAAAACGGGGGGGGGGGGAATGCTCTTGGAGACGCTTATGAGCGACCCGGATTCCGGCCAAAAAGCTCTCCCCCACCCTCCTGAAGGATTTTTGGTGTTTTTCGGGGCCCGGCGTCGGAGGGTCGGCGGCTTGGGGCGCGCCTCACCTTAGAGCTCTAGTCGCTCTGGGACGCTCGTAGGGCAAGCCACTCGTGGGGAGCCGGCGGAGCCGAATTGTAGAGCTTCGCACACCGGCGACGCCGGCAGGGGTCGGGGGAGGGAAAGAGAGAGGGGGATGTCATCATATGTCATCTGAACTTGCGAACATGACATGCTGAGGGTCGGCGGCCTATCTTGGGGCTATGTTGGCCCATCTTGGGGTTATGTTGGCCCATCTGGAGGCTATGTTGGCCTATGCCTAGTGTTGTAATTTACAGCATTTTGTGCTGTGAGATGGTAAGAACCCGTGTAAATACAACAGTTTTAGTCCCCGAAAGTGGCTAAAACACTCTTATTTACAGAGTTTCGTTCACATCACGATCTTCGATTTTTTGAAAAACGTGTAAATACCAGCGTTTTTTGCATGCAGCAAGACAAAAAATCGGTTCAAAAAGTGCAAAAAATGCTGTAATTTACAGGGGAGTGGCCCCGTCACAAGCAAAAAACTGTGTAAACACCAGCGTTTCGGCGTCCAAAAGTTGCCAAAACACCGCTATTTACAGTGTTTCGTGCCTTCCACGTTTGCTTGAAATTGCAGAAACATTGTAAATACCAGCATTTTTTGCGATCAACCCGCCAAAAATGCTGTAATTTACAATGTTTTTTTGCTTGGCTTTCAAAAACACTGGTATTTGCAGTGTTTTGTGCATCTCGGGTCCAAAAAGTACTGGTATTTACAGCATTTTCTGCGTTTTTGCATGGCTCCCGCCAACGACGTTAAAACGCAAAAATGTTGTAATTTACAGCATTTTGTGACTTCCGAAAAGCGAAAAATCGTCCGAAAAATGTGTCAAAACGGTACTTTTTTCCGATTTTTGGGACCTCCAAAACGCATCTTCAAATTTTACCCTCTTTTTGTCCACCCCAGACCCCAAAAAAGTGAAAACCCCACCAGGCTAAAGGATTTTTGGGGAGGGTCGGCGGCAGGGGCGCGCCCCCGGGTAGCTAAAGCTATGCTTAGCTTCCCCACACTACACGGCGAGGCGTCGCCGGATTTAAGCGCTTACGCGCGACAGCCGGCCAGGGGCCCAACTATGTAGGCCCATTGTGTGGCTATGTTGGCCTATGTTGGCGTATGTTGGCCTACATGTTGGCCTCATGTTGACCCATGTTGAGCCAGAAGATCCGAAAAATGGGAACAGCAAAAAAAACACTGTAAAACGCAGGATATTTTGATGGTCGGCGGCCTATCTTGGGGCTATGTGGGCCCATCTTGGGGCTATGTTGGCCTAGCGTGAGGGCAATGTCGGCCCATCTTGGGGCTATGTCGGCCCATCTTGGGGCTATGTTGGCCCATCTTGGGGCTAGGTTGGCCCATCTTGGGGCTATCTTAGCCCATCTTGGGGGCTATGTTGGCCCATCTTGGGGCTATGTTGGCCCATCTTGAGGCCTATGTTGGCCCATGTTGGCCCATCTTGAGCCACAAGATCCGGAAACGGCGAAAAAATGCGACGAGCACAAAACACCGTAAAACGCGGGGGTTTTTGGCGGCCGGGGGTGTCCGCGGCTGGGGCGGCGGCCCCTCTCTCCTACGGAGAGGAGAGAACTGCCGTACGGCAAGGACACGGCCAGGGGGCCCCTGGCCGGATTTAAGCGCTTACGCGCGACAGCCGGCCAGGGGCCCAACTATATAGGCCCATTGTGTGGCTATGTTGGCCTGTGTTGGCGTATGTTGGCCTATCTTGCGGGCAATGTGGGCCCATCTTGTGGCTATGTTGGCCTATGTTGGCCTCATGTTGACCCATGTTGAGCCAAAAGATCCGAAAAATGGGAACAGCAAAAATAACATTGTAAAACGCAGGATATTTTGAGGATCGGCGGCCTATCTTGGGGCTATGTGGGCCCATCTTGGGGCTATGTTGGCCTATCTTGAGGGCAATGTGGGCCCATCTTGGGGCTATGTTGGCCCATCTTGGGGCTATGTTGGCCCATCTTGGAGCTATGATGGCCCATCTTGGGGCTATCTTAGCCCATCTTGGGCGCTAGGTTGGCCCATCTTGGGGCTATGTTGGCCCATCTTGCGGCCTATGTTGGCCCAGGTTGACCCATCTTAAACCACAAGATCCGAAAAATGGGAAAAAGTGGGAAGAGCACAAAACACCGTAAAACGCGACTGTTTTTGGCGGCCGGGGGTGTCGGCGGCTGGGGCGGCGGCCCCTCTCTCCTACGGAGAGGAGAGAAACGCCTTCGGCAAGGACACGGCCAGGGGGCCCCTGGCCGGATTTTTGGGCTGACGCCCCTCGTCGGCTCCGCCGGACCACTCGGCCCTCCATTTCATCGCAGTGTGGGCGTGAAAGTTACTGAATGAGGACCTGCTTCAGAAATATATTCCTTAGGTTTTTTGGAACGTATTTGTTGGAATAGACGATTTTTTGGGGAGCAAGTGAGTTCCCGAAAGCTCCTGCGAAGGGTTTTTCCTAAAGAACTGCTGCCGATTTCAACTTGTTACTTCGTGTAAAGGCGCCTCTGTGCAAAGACTTCTCTGTGTAAAAGCTTTTGTGTGTAAGAGTTTCTGTGTGTAAAAACCACTTTGTGTAAAGACTTTTTTGTGTAAAAGCTTCTCTGTGTGAAAGCACGTCTTTGTAAAGATTTCTCTGTGTGTAAAAGCTTCCGTGTATAAAAACTCTCTGTGTAAAGGCTACTTCTCTGTGTAAAAGTTTCTGTGTGTAAACGCGTCTGTGTGTTAAAGCTCTCTGTGTAAAGACTTCTTTGTGTAACAGCTTTTGTGTGTAAAAGCTCCAAGACGTTTGTGTGAAAAAGCTCCTCAGAGGAAAGACTTCTCTGTGTAAAACCTTCTGTGTGTAAAAAGCTACTCTGTGTAAATGTGTAAAAGCCCCTGCGTGTGTAAAAGCTTGCTGTGTGTAAACGCTTTGGTGTGTAAACGCTTCCTCTGTGTAAAAGCTTCTCTGTGTAAAAGCTTCTGTGTGCAAACGCGTCTGTGTGTAAAAAGCCCTCTGTGTAAAGACTTCTTCGTGTAAAAACTTCTGTGAGTTAAAGCTCCTAGACGTTTGTCTGCAAAAGCACCTTAGAGTAAAGACTTCTCTGTGTAAAACCTTCTGTATGTAAAAAGCTCCTTTGTGTAAAGACTTCTCTGTGTAAAAGCCCCTGTGTGTGTGGGTAAAAGCTTCTGTGCGTCTCCTCCCTCCAGCTTTCTTTCGGGTCACGCTGTCGTCCAGTTTCAATCTGCAACGTTGTTTCTTGTGGAAGAGTGCAAAATAATGCAAAGAACATGTGAAAGCATCGCGCGTTTAAAAATTGAACATAAACAGCGCACAAAGTGCTGTAATTTACAGCATATTGCGCTGTCAGCTGGCAAGAACCCGCGTAAATACCACAGTTTTAGTCCCCCAAAGTGGCTAAAACACTGTTATTTACAGGGTTTCGTTCACGTCACGATCTTCGATTTTTTGGGAAACGCGTAAATACCAGCGTTTTTTGCGTTCATCAAGGCAAAACATCGGTTCAAAAAGTGCAAAAAATGTTGTAATTTACAGGGGTTTGGCGCCGTCACGGGCAAAAAACCGTGTAAATACCAACGTTTCAGCGCCCAAAAGTGGCTAAAACACCGCTATTTACAGTGTTTCGTGCCTTCCACGTTTTCTTGAAATTGCAAAAACAGTGTAAATACCAGCATTTTTTGCGATCAACTTGCCAAAAATGCTGTAATTTACAGTGTTTTTTGGCTTGGCTTTCAAAAACACTGGTATTTGCAGTGTTTTGTGCATCTCGGGTCAAAAAAGTATTGGTATTTACAGCATTTTCTGCTTTTTTTCATTGCTCCCGCAAAAGACGTCAAAACGCAAAAATGCTGTAATTTACAGCATTTTGTGACTTTCGAAAAGCGAAAAATCGTCCGAAAAATGTGTCAAAACGGCGCTTTTTTCCGATTTTAGGTACCCTCAAAACGGGGGGGGGGGGAATGCTCTTGGAGACGCTTATGAGCGACCCGGATCCCGGCCAAAAAGCTCTCCCCCACCCTCCTGAAGGATTTTTGGTGTTTTTCGGGGCCCGGCGTCGGAGGGTCGGCGGTTGGGGGCGCGCCTCACCTTAGAGCTCTAGTCGCTCTGGGACGCTCGTAGAGCAAGCCACTCGTGGGGAGCCGGCGGAGCCGAATTTAAGGGCTGCCGCCCCCTGCCGCCGACCCCTGGCATCTCCTGAACAAGGAGAGCCCTGAACAAGGGCCGGTCGGGCGCTCAGCAAACAGTACGTAGTCTCCTGAACAAGGAGAACCCCGAACAGGGGTTAGTTTTTTCGATCCATGTGTAGAGTGTGGAGTGTAAAATGTGGAGTATGAAGTGTGGAGTGTAGAGTGTGAGTGCGGAGAGTGTCAAGTGTAGACTGTGAGACTGAAGTGTGGAGTGTGGAGTGTAGAGTGTGGAGTGTGGAGTACAAGTACCGAGTGTAGAGTGGAAAGTGTGGAGTGGAAAGTGTGGAGTGTAAAGGGCGGAGTGTAAAGTGTAGAGCGGAAAATGTGGAGTGTAAAAGGGGGAAGTGTAAAGTGTGGAGTGTAATGTGTTGTGGAGTGTTGGAGTGTAGAGGGTGGAATGTAAAGTGTGGAGCGTAAAGGGTAGAGTGGAGAGTCCGGAGTGTGGAGTGTGGAGTGTACAGTGTCAAGTGTGGAGTGCAAAGTGTAGAGTGTGGAGTCTAAAGTGTAGAGTGTAAAGTGTGGAGTGTAAAGTACGGAGTGTAATGTTGAGTGTGGAGTCTAAAGTGGGGAGTGTGGAGTGTAGAGTGTAAAGTGTGGAGTGTAAAGTGTAGAGTGTGGAGTCGAAAGTTGGGAGTGTGAAGTGCAGGGTGTGGAGTGTCAAGTGTAGAGCGCAAAGCGTGGAGTGCAAACTTTGGAGTGTACAGCGTGGAGTGGAAAGTGTGGAGTCGAAAGTGTGGAGTGTAGAGTGTGGAGTGTGGAGTACAAAGCGTGGAGTGCAAAGAATGGACATGCAACTGTGGAGTGTAAAGTGTAGAGTACAAAGTGAGGAGTGTTTTCATGGACATTAAACTGTGGAGTGTAAAGTGTGGAGTGTAAAGTGTAAAGTACAAAGTGAGAAGTGTAAAGTGTGGAGTGTAGAGTGTGGAGTGTAAAGTGTTGAGTGTAAAGTGTGAAGTGTGGAGTGTAAGGTGTTGAGGGTAAAGTGCGAAGTGTGGAGTGTAAAGTGTAGGGTGTAAAGTGTGGAGTGTTAAGTGGGGAGTGTAAAGTGCGGAGTGTAAAGTGTGGAGTGTAAAGCGTGGAGCGTAAAGTGCAGAGTGTGGAGGTCAAAGTGTGGAGTGTGGAGTGTAGAGTGTGGAGTTTGGATCGGCGGGGTGCTCCGCGGACGCGCTCCCCTTGCCATCGTCTGGGGTCGGCGGATATTGCAATGATCTCATGATCATCCAGTTGCTGTCCCACAAACTCAGATATTGGATGACGATTCGACCCTCTAGTAAACTAAGAGAAGTATTGACAAGACCCATTTTTACTAGCTCAAGCAAACATGTCAATGGTCATTTTTTTATAGCGAACGGTTAGTTTACCGGAGGGTAAAGCACACTTTGCTGCGTCACATGCTCCTAAAAGTGACGGGACCTGCAACCCCGAACAGCAAGCATTCTGCCGCAAAGTCGCGGACCGGGTCGCGGACGAACTGCGTGAGGCGCGCGGAGACGACGCGACAACGGAACCGTTGCGCTGGGTTTTACATGGCGGCCCTGGCACAGGCAAATCGTATACTTTGAAACTGCTTCGCAAAGAACTGTTCGAAGGAGTCCTTGGCTGGCAGCATGGGGTCGACTTTCAAATCGTCAGCTTCCAGGCGGTCATGGCAGAGCTGCTGGATGGAGACACCATCCATCACGCGTTGGGCCTGGATTGGGGCGGAGACAGCACACGAAATAGTTTGCGAAGTCTGGAGAAAGCGCAGGAAACGTTGCAATGGAGGTGGTTAATCTTGGATGAGTTTAGCATGGTCAGTGCCGAACTGTTGGCGCAACTTGAACTACGATGTAGGGAGCTCATGCGAGACTTGAGCTTCGCAAAATACGGCGGCGATGGCAGGGCGCGACCATTCGGCGGACTGAACGTTATTTTAGCCGGTGATCTGTACCAGCTGCCACCTCCGAAAGGAACTTTTTTGGCGATATTCCATGGGACCTCGTCGCCGGACGAAAAGCAACCAAGCGAGCCACCGCCTTGCACGGCCAAACGCTCCTGTGGGGAGGACCAGACGCAGGCATGCAAGGCGTGACGGAACTGTTTCGGTGTGAGCGCACTGCCGACGCATGGCTAACGGAAGTGCAGACAGAACTACGGCACGGCCAGTTGTCGGACAACAATCATGCATTTTTACACGGCCAACCAACAACAGTCCCGGGTAGTTGGATTGCAGGACGTGCGTCATGCAAGTCGCAACAGTGCGCAGCCTTAGGCACTGGCGACGTTCCGCCCCACAGAATCCAGCAGCCGTCTCCAAGAGAAACCTGCCTTGATGGCGGAAAAGCTGCAATGGCTGCAGCGGCACGACAAGGAATGTGGGGGGTTGTATGGCTTGTTGCCGCTTTGCGTCGGCATGCCGGTTCGCGCCACAGAACACTTAGACAGAAGGCGAGGCATCCTAAAAGGATGCCGCGGGACGATCGTGGGTTGGTCGTCCTGTGCGGATGAAACACACGACGGTGTAGTACTCTGGAATGCGTTACCGCAGGCCGTGTATGTGAAGTTCGACACCGCCGAATGCTGGCAGATTGATGGCGTTCCGGAGGAGAATGTGTATCCTGTCGCGACCTGCAAGCGGGTGTGGTACTTGGATCGCCAACGGAAAAACCCACAACTGCGGGTTTCGCGCACGCAGTTTCCATTGGCGCCGGCCTTCGCCATCACCGCCCATGTGGCTCAGGGCCAAACAATCACAGAAGGGGTCCTTACAGACCTGTGTGTTGGTCTTGGAGGTAACCCCTTCACTGCATATGTCGCATTCACGCGGGTACAGGGACGCACGCGATTGTTCATCTATCGGGCCTTCGACGCAGCGCCGTTCCAGAAGGGAATTGGCTTGGGCCGGGATCTGCTACTGCGGCAGCTGCGCGGGGAACGCATAGAGTGGAAAGCGCTCTTGGCGAAATATTGTGAAGAACGGACGTGTGGTGCCTGCACGGAGCGCAAGCCGGCCACTGCATTCACCGCAGGACAGTGGAAACGCAGCGATGCCGACCGCGTGTGTCGTGAGTGCACGAAGAGGTACGCGGATGCCGGGACGCCGTGGAAATGCAACGTCTGCAAGCGGTGGCATGCAGAGACGAACTTGCCGGATAAGCACCGGCAACGACAATGCAGCATTTACCGCGTGTGTTTGGCATGCGAAACGAAAAAGCCTTGCACCCGATGCGGTGTCACGAAGTCGGAGGCTGACTTCGGGGCGGCAGCGTGGAAGGCGCGAAATACAGAGAGACGGTGGTGTCGAACATGCGCAACGAAGATGCGCGATCACTGGGCGTGCAGCCACTGCGAGGAACGCAAGCCTCGTGCAGAATTCTCTGCGTGGCAGGCCACGCGCGCGCACGCACAGAATGGCACGCAGCAATGCAACACGTGCGTGTCATTGGCGTTGGTTTGTCGCGTCGCTCGCAGAGCGAATCAACGCGTGCTGCGTTTGCGGCACCGCCTCCAGAGGGAGCGCGAGCAATCCATTGTTGAGGACGTCCGACGCGAAATAGCAGGGCAAAGACGAGCGCGCAGGCAACACCTGGCGCGATGGGGTTACCGGAGAAGGCCGCAAGCGCAGGTCGCGAAGGGCTCGCGCGAGTGGCAAGTGGCGCGGGCGGCCCGCACAAGTTGCCTCTCGCGTGCGGTCCCCAAGAGAACACGGACAACACATTCCACTACACGTGCCCATTTTGTGAGGCTGCCGTCAGCAGCATTGTGCGTTCTGGCCAAGTAGATCACCGCAGGCATTGCGGTAATCGATTTCAGGTCAAAGATGGATGCGTCGTGACAAAGAAGATGGTGTACCAGTGCCCGTTTTGCGATGGCAAAGTGAGCAGCAACGTGATGACCGGGCAAGTCAACCATGGCAGCGTGTGCGGCAACCGATTTCAGGTCACAGATGGATGCGTTGTGACAAAGAAGATGGTGTACCAGTGCCCGTTTTGCGATGGCAAAGTGAGCAGCAACGTGATGACCGGGCAAGTCAACCATGGCAGCGTGTGCGGCAACCGATTTCAGGTCACAGATGGATGCGTCGTGACAAAGAAGATGGTGTACCAGTGCCCGTTTTGCGATGGCAAAGTGAGCAGCAACGTGATGACCGGGCAAGTCAACCATGGCAGCGTGTGCGGCAGCTGGTTCTATGTTAAGAATGGCAAAGTCAGCGATGCAACGCGCAAACATATGCACACATGCCCGCGGTGTCAAGCCGCCGTGTGGTCAGGCAGCGCGTCGGGGCGAATCCGCGTGCAGCACAACACACCAGCGGGGCGCCCGTGCACACAGAAGAGCTGGAAGAGCGAGGAAAAGAAAGAAGCATAGGCTAGGACATGCTGCTGGGCCGCCAAGGGCCGCGAGGGAGAGGACAATGGAATCTATGAAACAGTTGTTTACTCCGTGGGAACTAGCTGCATGGACAGTGAGGCCTGGTTTGTGTAGGTCAGCCAGTGCTGCTGTGTTAGTTCTATGGTCTCGCGGTGCGTTCTCTTCCGCCAGTATTCTCTCTAACCTCCCCGCAATGACATCGCACATGGCTGCTGTCATGTTTTAAGGCCAGCCTACTGCCTAACGTTGCTTTCTGAAACCAGAAGAAAATTTCCCAGGAAAGCGCCCGGCAGGTGGCCAAAGGACATGCTGCTGGGCCGCCAAGGGCGCCGGGAAAAAGGTTTAAGGGCAGCCTAGGGCGTCGGGACACGTTTAAGACGTTTAAGACGTTTAAGGGCAGCCTAGTGCCTAACGTTGCTTTCTGAAACCAGAAGAAAATTTCCCAGGAAAGCGCCCGGCAGGTGGCCAAAGGACAGGCTGCTGGGCCGCCAAGGGCGCCGGGAAAAAGGTGTAAGGGCAGCCTAGGGCGCCGGGACACGTTTAAGACGTTTAAGACGTTTAAGGGCAGCCTAGTGCCTAACGTTGCTTTCTGAAACCAGAAGAAAATCCCCAGGAAAGCGCCCGGCAGGTGGCCAAAGGACAGGCTGCTGGGCCGCCAAGGGCGCCGGGAAACAGGTTTAAGGGCAGCCTAGGGCGCCGGGACACGTTTAAGACGTTTAAGACGTTTAAGGGCAGCCTAGTGCCTAACGTTGCTTTCTGAAACCAGAAGAAAATCTCCAGGAAAGCGCCCGGCAGGTGGCCAAAGGACAGGCTGCTGGGCCGCCAAGGGCGCCGGGAAAAAAGAGCCTAGTGCCTAACGTTGCTTTCCAGGAAAGCGCCCGGCAGGTGGCCAAGGGCGCGGGGAGACGTTTAGGGGCAGCCTAGTGCCTAACGTTGCTTTCTGAAACCAGAAGAAAAATCTCCAGGAAAGCGCCCGGCAGCCTAGTGCCTAACGTTGCTTTCTGAAACCAGAAGAAAATCTCCAGGAAAGCGCCCGGCAGGTGGCCAAAGGACAGGCTGCTGGGCCGCCAAGGGCGCCGGGAAAAAGGTTTAAGGGCAGCCTAGGGCGCCGGGACACGTTTAAGACGTTTAAGAGAGACGTTTAAGGGCAGCCTAGTGCCTAACGTTGCTTTCTGAAACCAGAAGAAAATCTCCAGGAAAGCGCCCGGCAGGTGGCCAAAGGACATGCTGCTGGGCCGCCAAGGGCGCCGGGAAAAAGGTTTAAGGGCAGCCTAGGGCGTCGGGACACGTTTAAGACGGTTTAAGGGCAGCCTAGTGCCTAACGTTGCTTTCTGAAACCAGAAGAAAATCTCCAGGAAAGCGCCCGGCAGGTGGCCAAAGGACAGGCTGCTGGGCCGCCAAGGGCGCCGGGAAAAAGGTTTAAGGGCAGCCTAGGGCGCCGGGACACGTTTAAGACGTTTAAGACGTTTAAGACGTTTAAGGGCAGCCTAGTGCCTAACGTTGCTTTCTGAAACCAGAAGAAAATCTCCAGGAAAGCGCCCGGCAGGTGGCCAAAGGACATGCTGCTGGGCCGCCAAGGGCGCCGGGAAAAAGGTTTAAGGGCAGCCTAGGGCGCCGGGACACGTTTAAGACGTTTAAGACGTTTAAGGGCAGCCTAGTGCCTAACGGCCGCCTAGGGCGCCGGGACACGTTTAAGACGTTTAAGGGCAGCCTAGTGCCTAACCAAGGGCGCCGGGAAAAAGGTGTAAGGGCAGCCTAGGGCGCCGGGACACGTTTAAGACGTTTAAGGCCAGCCGAGTACCTAACGTTGCTTTCTGAAACCAGAAGAAAGTCTCCCAGGAACCAGGAAAGCGCCCGGCAGGGCGACCTTACGCGTTTAATGCCCGCGCAGACGGCATTTCCCCCACTTTGGGCGAGACCGCTCATGCGGCCCTCGGGGGTGGGTTTGCAAAGATCTTGAGCCAAAGACTACCACCATACGAACAATACACTGGCCGGTGGCCTTCAAACAATCGACACAATCAGAACCCTGGAAAAGCTTTTTCTCGGGCGCGCTCCCCCTGCAACTTGCTGGGGTCGGCGGATATATACAATAAATGTACGATGATGTACGTTTTTTGACGGATATGTTCGTTGGGACTTCCCCCCATGGCGCCATTCGCGTTCGCCAAAAGGCCTGGAATCCCCCGGTGCCTTGGAGTACTTCCCCAAGGAGGTGCACAAAGCGGTGCCGGCCTATTCCTTCGCCTCGAAGAATGCCAGCGAAAGGAAGCCCGAAAACAGGCCATCGAAGCGGCGTTTTTGGATCGGAATGGACTCCATGGGATTCCTGGGGGATACCACGAAAAAAAGGACCGAAAAAAAGGATGAGAATGATATTGATATAGACTTCTATAGATTAAAATGATCTAGATTCAGATATAGATTTTGAATGATTGTGATATAGATGTATTTATAGCTAGATATAAATCTACCCACTCAATGTAGAACATGCTGGAACCACGTCCTTCCAACCGCGGCCAGGGTGCAGCTTTTGCAGATGAGCACTCCCAGAAATATCGGACCAGGCGCCCGTTAAATTTGTGAAATTTAAGAAGTTGCTCATACCCATGGGAAAACCGCTTAACCCAATTAGATTTGGGATACACTCCCAGCTAATTCACGTTATTTACGGGCAAAAATATCCAGTGACTGACTAGCGGCATGAACATTCAAGTAGTGTCATCCTCCAGATTTTGGGATTGTACACGAATGCAGAATGATTTTGATGTTTTGAATTTTGGGAACACCTGACAGCAACCAGCTGATCATTTTTTTTTGGAAACCAATGGGTTCTTGGGCCCACAGATTTTTGGACACCTCGACATGGCTCAACTTTTAGACCAAACGGCACCAATTTCGGTCATGTTTGTGTTCAAGCCTTTCAAGGTTGGAGCCCCGGGTTTGAACCAGATTAATAACTTGGGAATTGAAGCTCCAATTGTTCATCTCATTATGAGGGATTGTGAGGGTTTTGTTTGAAAATGAGTACGGTAGTTTTCCCCCCAAAATGGTGAGTTTTCCTCATAAAATGGTGAGTTTTCCATAGGTCTTCCCCTATTTTTGTTGATGAAATCGAAGTGGATTCTCCATCGCTCAGATAGGATCCACCCTACCAGGCTCGCATGTGCCAGCCACCTCCATGGGCCACCAGCCCACATCCCCGCGGCGAAACGCGCCGGCGCGGATCCTTGGGGCCTCTAGGAATCTCCAGGATGGACTCCCAAGGGGCAGCCTTTGGATGTCAAGATGGGCATTTTGGGAGGATTCAAAGATTCAAAGATTTTAGGATTCAAAGATTCCACATGTCAAGATTTTGGAGTCTTTTTTTGGGAGCAGTTTGATGCCCTGACACTGCTGATGCTTGGCGAAGGCCTGGACGATGACTGGAAAGAGCCCGCGTGACTATGGGCAACCGGAATTGCTGGCCATCGAGGATAAGGTCTTCAGCTCCATCGGGAAGCAGGTGCCCTTTTCGAAAGTCATGTGGATATGACATGATATGACATGATATGTCCTTAGTAGATCTTAGTAGCAATTTCTCCCAAGATGACAGTTTATAGATCTGCAGTGTGCTCCCCTTTTAACCTTGACCTGGCGATCGCATGCGATCGCAGCATCATGGTCCTCCGGAGGTCTTGTCCACCATCAGATCTCCACCTGGCGTAGGGGTGTCGAAATCGACCCGAGATCAGTCCAACAGGACAGGGGTGGGCCTGGTGAACACAGCTAGCTCAGGCTTGTTGATGGACCCCTTGTGTTCCAGCCGGATGGTGTTCTGGATCAGTGGCGTTCAACGCTTTGAAACTGTCCAGCTATACTGTACATGCGAATCTATACATGTCCGACTCGTTGCAAGTGCCAGCACAGGCTACTGGTATAATTTTAGAAACGTCACCAGATCCCTTCAGGGTATCCTCATATGGGTATGTCTGAAAATGGAGTATACCCCCAATGAAATAGCCATAAAAAGTAGGGATATGTAGGGATAATGATCAGCAAAACCATTGGGTGTAGGGGTACACTATTTTCAGACAAACCCATATCCATTCACATCCCCTCCCGCGCCACGGCAGGACCGCCTTGTATGTGGGTGAGAAGGATCGGCCCATGGTTGGTCCCAAACCCACATTCCGAATCGACCTGCCGGCAGGGAGACCCGGCTGGTGGGCTGTTGAGCCTGTTCGAACGGAACGCACATGTTCGGAACGCAGAGTTTGGCCAAAGACGACGCAAACTAAATGATACCTTTGAAAAAAACGGCTAGAAATAGTTAGAAATGAATAGAAATGATATGAAATGATATGAAATGAATGTTCCAGCCACTTGTTTTGGCCTCTTCAGCAACTCAAACTGGGGCTTCTGATATTTGTTTCAGCCACTTCCAAACGTGGAGATAAATGGAGATTGTGAATCCATCCATTGAGGCCCGAAGTGCCGTGTCCCGCCCTGGGCTCTGAGAGTCAAATCCATGCAGCGGATGACAGCGGTGAGTCGCACAAGACGTGTGAGATGCCGCTGGATGCTGGAGTTGTCATGTTTTCATGTTTTTTTGCATGATTTCAAATTGTTTGCATAATCAGGTTGTGATTATTGTTGGATCATGTTGGATGGTTTGGAGGTTTCAAAGAAGAAACAACACATGTCTTAATGGATATCCAACTGGCGCTCTGATTTTTTGCAGGTCTCTACTCTGCACTTGTGTACGGGGGGCGCCATATTTACCTTTTTCCCCCCCTCTCTCTCTCTCAACTCATGCCTTCTATTGCTCATTTGGTCATTTTTGATCATCGGTGGTCTCCCACCTGGTCGGATGGCCATGTTTGATCCGATTTTATTGATGTTTCTTCGTTGAAGAATCATTGCTGTGGAAAGAAAGCCCTGGAAACCATGCGCAAAGTGTGAATCATCATAAATACTCATAAATCATTACACGATTTCCTGAATGTATTGAGATTATTTTTGAACTTGATTTTCGTAGCTTGGAAAATTTGCGCCTGGGGTGCTTGTCATGATGACATTCCCCATTGCTTGAAGAGCGGCGCTGAGCAAACCTAGGGGGCAACCGGAGAATCCGAGCGACCCAGTGATATGAGGCAATTTGGAAGGCCTCTGAGGAAAAAGAGTGAAGCTGAAGAGGATTGATATTGATGGCATGTCAAATCCCTGCCAACTGAGTCAACTGGACATTTCAATATTTTGTGTTGAACATGTAGAGCATCCATCCTTTTCGGACCCCTTTGCTGTGTTGTTTGTCCCTGCAGAACTGTTGCTGTTTCGACGCTCTCGCGGTGCTTGGGCTGACTTCTTTTTCCTGCTCCAGGTCGTTAATATCAAGCAGTGGCCACTGCTCAAAGAGCTTCGCCATGCGATTCACCCGAAATCGAACCGAGGTCCATCACCACTACCGATTTAACGATGAATACTCATATTGAACACATTGTGGTAGTGCAGGTGTAGTTTGGATATAAATGCCAACTCTGCAACCAAACTCCCATGTTGGCTGAAACGATGAGATCCAAGGTGGTCCAGCCACAGGGCTCCAAGATCCTTTGGATGATGGGCTCGCCCCATGGGCTCCGGTGGCAGCGTCGAAGCTGCGGAAGCTGCGCCGGTGCCACACGTGCGCGTGGTGCTGCAGGGGCTTCAGGTCGGAGATTTATCGGTAGGATACTCCAAATTTGGCTGATCAACTGACATATGCTACACCTTGAGATGCAACCTAAGAGGAAACATGAGGAAACATCATGTCAAGAACAAACTGGGCTAAAGATGGATAAAACACACCAGACTTGGTTTGTCCAATGATGGTGGATATCCAAGCTCACAGCAGGCACGCATCTCTTCGGTGGAAGCAGATGGAGTGGTTGGCGTGCCTCGGCAATCGGATGATCATGGGTCAGAATTGGGTCGAACCTGCAAGGACCTCAAGGATGGAAAAGACACTTGAACAATCTTCGAAACCCCTGTTGATTCATGATAATCATGATTATATGGGATGATATGGGATTATACTATCCAATAGATTGCGGAGTATGACAATCCATTCCATTGTGGAAAAAAAAAACCTAACCAACCAGTACAAAATCAGCAACTAAACCCATAACCAGGAAGATCGCATTGCCACCCTGAAGCAACATTTGGAAGAGGCGTTGAAGGCAGAATGGGTGATGGGCTGGGGAGCCCCCAACATCTGAAGAGGGAGATACCCAGCGAAAATGGTATGCCCAAGAATTGGAGACCTCCTAAGATTGAGCAGTTAAGAAGCTTTTTTGATAGAGGGTACCAAGGAAGATTTGGAGACATCCCCCACTTTTGAACGCAAGTACCCGAATTTTGATTCGTCCCAGACGCAGATCCGTTGAACGACTTTTTCCAAGCACAGATTTCCCCACTGGCCGTGGCACTGCACCGCGCAGGTGTGCCCCAGCGGTGTTACCGATGTGGGGCCGCGGGCAGCTTCAGCTGTCCAGGAGCTGGCGAAGCAATGTCTTCAAACAGCTGCTGAGGTGTCACTTAGTCAAGACTGTCAAGACTAACCATTCGAGGTTTGGGGGTTGACAAGGTTGAACTATGAAATGAAACTATGTTGAATTCTTTTTTGGGCCGTTTTGTTTTGGACCAAAGTCCAACACATCACATTCCCATGCTGATCATCCCCAAGAAATTGTTACAGGTTGGCCTGTCCTCTGAGCCTCGACTGCAAGCAGAGTTGCGTCATCTTCCGTCCATTGCACTCATTCAATCTCAGAAGATCCCAGGATATTTCTGGAGATCATCTTAGGATTTCAGAATCTTAGATGTTTCATGATGTTTCTATTATCAATTGGCAGCGATTCTACAGTTCCATGGTTGCCCCACTCCATTTGGGCTGAGCTGTCTTGAGATCCAGATCCTTCCGTGACCTTGGTTGGGTAATTAGCTGCTACTAGCTGTTGACTGATTCTTGTGGGGTCATATTCTGAGGAGATGGGATTTGTGGATGATCAGTTCATCCATTTACATCCATTTACATCCATTTACCAGCTATTTGGTGATGTGATGTCACTATAACCAAGGTTCTGATCCCATTACCCTCTAGTAAACTGACATAGCCATGGAACATGGCCCATTGATGATTTACCTCTTACAAAATGGTGATTTTCTATAGCATTCCATAGCTATGTCGCTATGTTAGTCTACCAAAAAGGGTACGGTCCCAAAGCTCCTCTGAGGTGTCCGTGGCTGAGCTGCTCTGCGAGGGACTCGCGGCGTCTGCAGCGGCGGAAGTGGAACTGGAACCGTTGGGAGAAGCGCTGGAGCCTTGGAATGGCTGGAGGCAACCCATGCCGGAAGTGGAACCCTTGCGATGGGCCCAAATGATGAGGGCTTTAAACAAATCGGGATTGACACAGATCCTTCACTTTGTGGGGCTCATCCCTGCAAACACGGCAGATTTTGGGGTCGTTGATTCAGTGAATGGTGCAGCAGCAGCGCTCAGGATGCCTTCGCCGTGCAGATCATGGTACCTCGGCCGCAAGTTGAGCCTGGAGATGGCACGGAGCTCCCAAATCAACGGTGTATTTTATGGACAATGTGGAACGTGTTGTTGTAGATAGCTGAGCCTTAGCAGGTCCCCAATTTTGAGAAACACCTATACATGAGACGCGGGAGGCAGACAAACTACATCTAACATCATCTAACTAATTACTATACGTATGTATCTATATGTAACAATACTCACTATTAACCAATACGGGCAATAAGAACAATGATCAACTAAACATCTTGATGCAACAGTAATTTCATCAACACAATTATCATTTCATTCATTTCATTCATTTCATTCATTTCATTCATTTCATTCATTTCATTCATTTCATTCATTTCATTCATTTCATTCATTTCATTCATTTCATTCATTTCATTCATTTCATTCATTTCATTCAACACGAATTTGGTGGTTTCCAACTATGGCTTCTTCAGCCTGAGGCATGTCTATGGCGTGGACGCCTCAGTGCCGGCAGTGCAGCAGATGTCGTGCATCTGGTCCCAGAATCTAAGGGGATGATCCAAGGGCATGATGAAATGAACATGTATAAACCATGATCTCAAACCCAAGTAACTCCTTTTCTCGAGAGCCTTGGAGCCATGTGGAGGGTCCAGGAAAAATGATGAAAACTCTGTGGGTCATTTGGAAAATCTTTGCGTCAGAACGATATCCATGGGCTCCATGTCTCCTAAGGTCTGGATGAGTTGATCCAACCGGAATGGAGCATGGAACGCTTTGGGCGCCCGGGGCGGCTTTGTTTCGCGGATTGTGCCTTGACCAGCGACCTCTTTGAGTTTGGTGAGTGGTGTCATAGTTCGGCCCAAAAACTCTCTGAGGTATGTTGAACATGTTGATGAACTGGCAACTAGCTCAACATTACTGTAGAAGTAACATGTAGTAACTCCTTTTTGTATAGAGACATGGGTCCACCCAGTTCGAACTCCACATGGCCAAGGTACACAGCCCTTCCAGCCCCATGCCATGGACCTACGGTTGTGCCAAGCGCTGCAGGGTGTTTGCGCCTGGCTTCTGGCCCTGCTGTTTCGCGCAGGTGGGGTAATGTATCATATTTTAGATACATGTCAATTCAAATATGTCATTCAAACATATTCAAACAATAGCCCACACTGGTGTGTGTCTTTTCAAAAACCTAAATCCATATTTTCCAGTGGGATTTCTGGAATAATGCTCAATCTTGATTAGTGTAGGGGGGACCCCCCAAACAATTCCATGGATGCCACTGGATGATGGATCCCTGGATGGATCCCCTGTCGAAGGCGCAGAGTCCCTGGATTTGTCGCTGGATCTCTGGGACTTCTGCAACTCCGACGCCTTGTCCTCGGTCTGTTTCGGCAAGGGCGCGCTGAGCTTCCAGCGGGCGGCCCGGGAGACGGCCTGCGACTTGGCAGTGGCGGGTGGGAGCCCATGGGGTACCTATGGGTACCTCCAATCATCCAAAATTAGACCCATTGAAACATGTTGAAACCCCCATGGTCATGGAAAAGATAGAAGTTATGCAAAGGTGCTGTATTCCGTGTCCCTACTTCTTGATGAAGATGAAGATGAAGATGAAGGTGAATGTGGTGGTGGTGAGGGTGGTGGTGAGGGTGGTGGTGGTGGCGACGTTTTTTGATGCTTTTTGTTTTGTTTTTGTTTTTTTTAACGGGGATCCTGCGAGAGCAGGTAGGTGAACATCCCCAACAGAGTAAAAAAACAACGCGTTGAGAAACTAGATAACGTTTCGTCGTATTCGGGAATTAATTTTTTGCGTTCAGAAGCTAGTTAAAGTTTTGCTCCGGTTTTTTTTTCAAGATTTTCAGGGTTTTTGAAGGGTTCTCCTTGTAGTGTTCTGTTTGCTTAGGTTTTAAGGTTCTTTGAGGGTTTGCTTAGGGATTGTATACGGGTTGGTTTGGGTTTCCTTAGGGTTCGTGCAGGGTTTGTCCCTGCTTTGTTTCCGAATGCAACTCCGAATACAGTTTTCCATTTTTTGAATACAACGGCCTAATTTCCGAACACAACAGCCTAGTTTCCGAACACAAGTCCGAGTTTCGGAATCCAACCGTCTTGTATTCGAATACAGCCGTGACCAACATAATTTTAAGCTGGGGCCCGCTGGCGTGAACAACATATTCCACGGTCTTTACAAATCAAACAATGCCACAAGTCAAATGAAATTTGATTGCAAGAAACATCCAGCAAACAAAAAAATCATGGACTGCTGAAGATCAGTTTCCCGTCAAGAAACAAAGAACCCGTGGAAAAATCCGCTGTTTCAACTGCTCTACTCCGGCCTTGGCTGAGGCGTGCGTGTGCCCCATGACCTCCCTCAGCTGCAGCATGCCATTCTGGGCGCCCTCTTAGGCTTGGGGGCCCCAAGCGCCTTGGCGATGGTCAGGATGGTTTGTCCAGCATGGTTACAGGGCATGTCAGTTTTGCCAACACAACATCGGAAACTTTGGAGTTTTTCATTTTGGTGGGTTGTTTTTGATTCTCTACCAACCAATCAGGCTGTCAAAACATGTGAGAACTGCCAGAGGCCGACACTTAACCCCAATCCCTGACAGCTCAGGGATCGCTTTCCACGGTGCTGCAGCGACCGGCGACGTTGACATCCAGCAGCGGCTGGAAGAACATTTGGCGCATTGTGCCCTCTTGACGGCTGTGGCGCAGGATGCGGCAGGGGGGGAACGGTGGCAGGCAACCCCCAGTTACCACCCAGTCAACTGCATCGACAAGCTACTGTTTTGTACAGTGGTTCATCCTACCAGTCCTACCAATAAAGTATGTTACAAACCTGCTTACAAGGTTAAATTGATGTCAATTGCATATATAGTAGGGGTTACAAACCTATTATAGCCATCCATAGCCATTATATATAAGTTACCTACCCCATAGGAGAACGGCCTTTTGGATTGCCTACTCTCCTGCGACTGGGCTGAATATCCTGGGTCACAGCTGATCCCGGCGCTGGCGCAACATTTGGCGGACACAGTGACATGGATTGGATTTGGACGGGCTTTGTGGGAATTGAATGGGATTTTGTAGTGGTTCCATTTCTTGAGACTTGCGGTTATGACTTCAAGGCGTTGTGCTTGTCACAAAACTAAGTTGCAGAGAAATTGGAACATGCATGAACATGCCATCATATCTCATCCAATCCATGGTCCTTTTAATTACAATATATTAGAACTATATCACACCTCTAGTAATCTAAGAACCATTGCAACAAACATCCACTACTTTGCAGATGACATTCCTCATTCAAAGTTTATTTTTTCTCACTACCCTGTGAGATCTCTAGAAGGGAAACCATGGTAGAACCCTCCATTTTTGCTGCTGAACGGTGGCAGGTAGCCTCCACCTCCCTGAAGCTGCCGGAGTATGAGGACGCCATGAAAGAGTATCTGCAGCATCTCCGCTTGAGGTAGGGATATGGTTTTCTGGGATTTGGGTGGATTTGGGTGGATGATTACACTGATGAATGATGGATGGAGATTAGATCCAAAAGATCTATACACAAATCTCAAGGTGCTCGTTTTGAGGCCATTGTGCACATTTGGACATCTTACAAAAACGTTTTCAACTATCGGCCGAAAGGTTTTCTTACCGAAACATGGACCTGGTATCGCAGCCCAGCGGAGGTCGCAGATCGTTTGGGATATCTTATCCCTGGAGCAACAGCCGACACTTGGCTGGCCAGGGCATATGACAATGGATCCCTTCGTCTCTGGCTACAGGCGCCAAATGATTGCCAAGTAATCCGGGACCCAACCCCTATTTTTCCCTGAATCTGAGTTTCAACATCAGCAACTTGACGCCTAAGCTTCTCTCCCGAACCCCATCCCCATCCCTATCCCCGGCCAAGGAAGCGAAGCTTCCTGCAGAACTGCGGCAAGTTGTCCTTCTACCTGACGCCCGGCAGTGGCCCGGCTGATGCATTGGGGCAGGCCGCCAGTGGGGGCCTGCCGGATGCCAAGAGCCTGACCTGGACCTGCGTGATGCTGGTGAATGCAGGTGGGGCTGGGGGATTTCAGGTGGGGCTGTGGGCCAAACAAATGATCCGATCAAGAAACATTATGAGCAAGAGAAAACACAGTCATGAAAGACTGATTAGTGGATATTGATATTAGTGGATGTTTCGATTCTCCTGCGGAGATGAAGCTAGATCCGCTGTGGGCAGTCTTTGCTGCCTTGCAGACTCTGCCAGGTTCCCTGGCCTTGTGCCAAGAGTTGCTGGTGGAGCTGCCCCCAGACGTCTTGGAAAAGGTGCACTGCCAGGGTGGCTGGACAGGGTGACCAAGGGTGTCGCCGTAACCAAACCCACAAAAGATGGACTTTCTAAAATGGTCTTACTGGATCTTCATGGTCTATTTTAAGTCTTTCAATGTGAAAGCAAGGGCGCGATTCTTTCGGGACAGCCTGCATGATGGACTCCCAATTGCAATTTTGAGCTGACTGGCCTGAGATCCAGTGAAGATTGCAAACAGATAACTCATAGAAATCATTGCCATGTGAGGGATCTCGCTCCTGCAGACTGGTTTCGCCACAAGTTCTGGCTAGATCAGAAGCTCCGGATGGTCCAACGAAAACAAAGTGCCATCAATTTTTCTCACTGAAACTACCCCAAAATCCATTGATAATCCATTGATTAATCATGATCAATAATCCTCAATAATCCTCATCCCTATACCCCCAGGTGAGTGATCACTTCCAAGACGGCCACGCTATGTCCTGGATCCGCGAGGCCGACATCCGGTGACCCACGTCCTGCTCATGGTTTTTGGGTTTAGGACGTCATCTCACAGTACCATGACTGCCATGACTGGAAGAATCTCAAGACAAGTTCCTGTTTCGATATTTGGTGCTTTGTTTCTCCAAAAATCATGGATTTTGACAAGTGCTGGGATCCCAGGGCTGGGCCAAAGGACGCACGTTCCTCGCTGGACTTTTCCAAACTCCTGGGCGGCGAAGTTGGAATGACCAGGTGCCGAGTGTGTCTCTGGTGGGCTTTCAATTTCCTTTTTTTCGTTCATAGGGCAATCGGAACTGGGGCATGGAAGATAGCCAAAGAAAAAACCCGAAGTTAGGTGGAGAAAACTTTGCCTGTCAAGCTTGACTTCGCTGCTAGCACTGGTGCATTGTACGTCAACGTTTCTTATTTCTGTCCTGCCAATTTGATGTCTACATGCAACAAGTGCATTGCTGCGACCCACAAATAAATACACTTTTGCCCACTCGCTCCTCACCTTTTCCCTGTCCAAAAATATGGACCATGGGTCAAAATGTCACACAAACAAAGCCAACCAATGGGGGACAACTCATTTTTTCCTAAACTTCGTAAACCATCATAGACTATTTTTGAGGAACATTGCATCAACTCCACCCAGTCCCTGCTAGGGAGGCCGCGCCACCGCCCGTGCCGCCCGGCCTGGCGGACTGCGCGGGCGCTGCTTGCCGCGGCCAGCTGCGGGAGAAGTTGGGAGCGGTGCCCGAAGCGTTCTGCTGCAGCCTGGATGGCAGGCATGGCTTGTGATAACAGATAACATGGAAAAAATGGTAAACAATGGTAGGTCATAGTAATTGTGTTGTAATAAAGAACTCAGCGAGTGTCTAAACTTTAAACTTTTCCTTGGTTGGGTTCGTACGCACGCGGGGGGTATCGATTTTATCCCCGCGAACTTAGCAAAAAAAACAAGTTTAAGCTTTTTTTTTTGCAAGGGAACGATGGTAGTAATAATGATGGTATTAGCAATAGCATCATTGATAGTGATGGCAATAGCAACAATATCATTATATAATAAGATAATAGATAATCATAGGAGATAATACTAGTAATGGTAATAGTAATGAGAATAGCAAGTGAGAATGGCAACAGTAATGATTAGTGTCAATAATTCACCCCAAAGATGATTAAAGAGGCATGATAATGGCAATGAGAATACTAATGATACCTGTAGCGGCAATAATGGCAATGAGAACAACCAAAGATCAAGTTGGAACAAGACTATTATATGGTTGAACCGCAAATCAAATGTTGGGGCATATAATCTCATAAGAATAAATACTGTACCATAAAACACCCATGGACATTTTTGGGCGGAAGTTGGTTGTCCACCAGTCCATTAAATTTTCTGATTGCATTTCTGCAGAGGTTTTGAGGATAACTATGGAGAACTACTTATCTGGAAGGATCAGTCTGAACGGAGGAGGCAATTTGCGAGTGATGACAGCGCAACATTTTATTCCAACACTTGTACAGAGGTGGCAACAGGTCGGGAACTCTCAACGCAAACAACGGTCTAGATCAGTCTAGTAATTAGTGTATAGTGTATATTGTTTGGGCAGTGCTCTCTTCGGATCTAGAATGCTGGTGCAAGTGCACAGCAACCCTGAGTAAATCTGCAGACGTAATTGGCGGCATGATTCTTGCAGGATAGCTGTCTCAGAATTGGCTGTTGGACTGCTAGATACCATCGAATTTGTGCCAGCAAGGTGATTCCATTTTGGCAATGATCGTAGGGTATCCCATCCCAGAACAGGTTGAAGGGAAACTTCTCCAGTATGAATTATCCATTTTATCTCCATTGAAAAAGGCTACTATACCATTGATCCAATCTACCCCCATCGAAAATCACGAAAAACACCCATCGAAAACCATGGTTATAAGTTATAATACCACTGTGATACCATTGATCCAATTTATACCCATTGAACCCCATTGAACCCCCTCTATTTGGGCGCGGCAGGCTGCTGGTGGACCCCATGCGAGCCCCGGACGGCCGCCACTACGAACGCGCAGTGCTTCAACGAGCGCTGGCGGAAGGACATGATTTTCAAAGAAAGGAAGGGCAGTTGGATGATGAACGATGAACGATGAAGGATGAAGGATGACTTCTGCCTCCGGTGCCCAAAGATAGACATGGCCACATTGAGGGTCCCCCAGGAGATTCACGTTTAGAGTCGACCTTCACCTTCGAAGATTGCCAAAGAGATGCAGGTGGAACTGCAACAGATGTAGTGCTGAAACTGTGGTTGTGTCAGGATGAATTTGAAGAGTCACAGATATTATTTTCATTGTTTTCCCGTCAAATTTCATAAGTCTGCAAGTTCATGCCGGGCACAAGTTGCTTAGATTTTCAGACATGGAGTGAAAAAGTGAGGGGAAGCTAGTTTCAACATGCCAATGGATAGTCCATGGTTGCGTGCTGGACAGCCCCAACCGGGAAGGTCTTCGACAGCAGATCGTTGAGTGGGTTCGAAGCCAACCCCGCACGAGCGCTTCAAAAGATGGGGTGCTTTCTGACTGGAAACAAACCAAACTAGAAACAAGAGCACTGTAAATGATGTCATCACTCAGTCACCCAATTAGAAAAGCAATTATTTGAAGAAACCGATTGCAGTAAATGATTTGCAAACCTTTGAGATCATCTCAGAAGATAAAGCAGTCTTTACGTTCAAAACAAGAGACGCACATGGATTGCGGATTTTGGCTGCAAGCGTAGATTGCGGAATTTGGCTCACTCCAGCCCCAAACCTATTTTAGTCTTTCAATGTGAAAGCAAGGGCGCGATTCTTTCGGGACAGCCTGCATGATGGACTCCCAATTGCAATTTTGAGCTGACTGGCCTGAGATCCAGTGAAGATTGCAAACAGATAACTCATAGAAATCATTGCCATGTGAGGGATCTCGCTCCTGCAGACTGGTTTCGCCACAAGTTCTGGCTAGATCAGAAGCTCCGGATGGTCCAACGAAAACAAAGTGCCATCAATTTTTCTCACTGAAACTACCCCAAAATCCATTGATAATCCATTGATTAATCATGATCAATAATCCTCAATAATCCTCATCCCTATACCCCCAGGTGAGTGATCACTTCCAAGACGGCCACGCTATGTCCTGGATCCGCGAGGCCTGTGACATCCGGTGACCCATGTCTGTTAGACCTGGGGATGGTTTGTTTTTGGGTTTAGGACGTATTCATCTCACAGTATGACCATGACTGGAAGAATCTCAAGTAAGACAAGTTCCTGTTTCAATATTTTGGGGTGCTTTGTTTCGACTCCGAAAATCATGGATTTTGATAAGTGCTGATTGGGATCCCAGCTGGGCTGGGCCAAAGGACGCACGTTCTTCGCTGGACTTTTCCAAACTCCTGGGCGGCGAAGTTGGAATGACCAGGTGCCGAGTGTGTCTATGGTGGGCTTTCAATTTCTTTTTTTTTCCGTGCATAGGGCAATCGGAACTGGGGCATGGAAGATAGCTTTGCATGTGGATGTGCTTTGCATCGGAAAAAATGCCAACAGCTACCACTGCTTTGCACTGGCTGTTGAGGATCTCACTTGGTATTTTGGAAGAAGATCAATGATTTCATCGAGAGAACTTATCCATGACTTGCAGATGCAACTTCCAAGGCTATTCATCCGGCCATGAAAATGGGCAGAGGCGAGTTGCGATGGCCGGGTCATGTCTGTAGGAAGCAGTGCAGAGATTGAGGTTGGCAGTGTAACTATGATTCTGAATTTGAGTTTCCTTTCATATTGAGCTACCCTTGTGTGTCCTTCATTCTCCACAGGTGGCATGCTAAGGCAGTGTGGTGAGGTGATTCTTGCTGCATACCACTTCCCGATTGCATCATGACACATCAGGATGAACTGGTTGTTTGGTGGCAAGCTGCTCTCTGCTTGTGCTCACAGCAAGAATTTCCAGTCGATCACTGCTCTTGCCCCCCTTTTCTATTCTCAGTGGCTTGTTGTCGTCGAAATCCAATGGCTTTCTCGTTGTGGCCAATGTGGTGCCTTGTGTGTGGCCACCTGGTTCATGCCATGCGGCAAGTGGCCGAAAACGATGATGTGAATCCCATTGACAACATGTTCTGTGAGTGCAAGGAAGTTCAGTCTGTGGAAGGGTGCCCTGACTACGGGAATACGAAATTCGGACTCTCGAGTGGCATCCCTCGCTATTATCATGAGCAGGTGGGGAAGTTGGAATTTGAAGCCAAATGCATCCAAATGCAAGGTATTGTTGCTTGAGCTGCCACTGACAAGATATTTTCTCTCTCTCTCTCTCTCGGTATCAGAACTGAATGGATTCCTATATTCGAATGGCATATGGCAGGCAACAAATCGCAATCTTGTTGCTGGACCATGTCCATTCCCTGCACCAGTCAGTTGTTATGATGTCATTCTGTGTCCATAGGTGTTACAATGCTGCCCTCTTACAGGAAATGTTGCACTCGCAGAACAGAAACCCGTGATTGGTGGTTCTTCTGATGGGTTGAAACATATTGAAGCATGTTGAAGCCACTAACATGGAAAACCACACCGTTTTGGGGAATGAAATTCTGCCAACATGGCCTCATGTCCGCTTTTTTCGGTCCAGGCCCAGAAGAAATTATGCTGCCGTATGTCTACAAACAGCAAGTGGAGCATGTGGAAAAAGAAGAAATATATTCGCCAGGATACCAAGGACCCGGTGGATGGTGATGTACAGTGACTTACTCTATGAGGTGATCTCACACAATTCAGTTTCGCAGGGCGTCGCAGGGCACGCAAAATATGACATGTCCATCGCAGATGTCACTTTCTTTTTGAGGTTGGTTAGGTGACGCTCAGCTGGTGCTTTCTGAACACCTAGTTGACGCCTGTAGTTCCACTAGTTGAAACTGCTTGAACATGTGTGCAACATGAGTGCTGTGTGCAGGGGATTGCGGTAGGGAGGTGTTGAAAGATTTTTTGAGATGTTGAGAGATAATCAGAGCGGAGGATCTTTGCTTGGAAGAAAGACGACCGCTTGGCGGCTGTTGCACGGTGGCAGGCTCTGCTGAGACACTCGGCGCAACACTTGGAATTCGATGTGTCCGAAGAATTTCTCACAAGTTTGATGTAGAACCAGCTTGAAGCCATTGGTGCATTGCGATCGATTTGATAAATCACCGAAGGGAACAGGAGATTTCACTAAAGTAGCGCAGAAAAGCTCGTAGGACCTGGTACCATATTAAGATATATTAAGTGGGTTATGGCAACTTGAGAAGATCAATTTGTTCGACATCAGCTCTTGGTGCGGAGGATCTACGGGGAAGACTTGAAAATTCACCTGACCCATGGGAAAATCTACAGCATGGCCCATAAGAAGATGAACGACAATCCGACGGAGAAGGCATACGAGTGTGCAAACCCTTTTTTTAAGGTAATGCACTTGTGAACACATGCAGAAAAGGATAGAAAAGGCACAGATTTTGTACATTCCCATTCGTCAAGCATTTGTGTGGCCTTGTGATTGTTTCCAAGCTGTCAATTTTGAAGGACTACAAGAAAAAGTCCTCCAAGGTTTTCATCGAGACAGACAGCATTGGATATGCAACCAGCTATGTAGGAAAGCCAATTCCTGCCGACAAGATCATACCAGATATCAAGAAACTCATGAAAAGCAGCCAAAGTCTCCAGTGCAAAGAGGATTTTGAAGGAGTTGCTTGCCTGGAGTTGATCGTGAGATTTTTGATGCTACTGCATTTGGGAATATTGGGGATTGGGGACTCACAAGCCACCAGTCCCATTAAGTTCCCATTTGGATCCATTTGGTTTATGACGCTATTGTCCAAGACTCCAAGACCTTACTGCTTGGTGTTTTTTTGAACCCGTACAGCTCATGAGTGATATCTGTGGTATGCATTGTGAATTTCATGACAGCTGCACAATACGCCTGTAGTGGCCAGATCAGCAAGACCAAGCATGCGCATGGAGTCTTCCAAGGTCTTGGCCAAGGTAAGATGTTTCTCAAACCTTGGCAAGGTTCCATGCGTTCTGTCAATGAACCCTCTGTGAACCCCCTGGCAGCGACTGGCTCGTGCAGTAAGAACCGAGCTGCACAGCTCTCAAACTGGACGACATGGCTCCTCAGGCATTAGAGAGAAATCTGATGCCACAAGGTGTTGCGAAGAGGTGTTGACCTGCCTTGTTCAGTTGGGAGGTGCCTGGGGTGTGGCATTAGCGTGACATGAGTGTAACACCGGATGACCTACAGCAACATTGAAAAGAAAACGTACAAGACAACATCAAAACAACATCAATGCCATCTCTTTTGTTGAAAAGAACATGAACCATCGCAGCAACTGGCAAAAGCGCCCTTCACAGCACAGGGCACAACATCAACCAACTGGACGGGTGAGCCATGTGGTGCTGTCACAAAGGGAATTTGTGACGCGGGCCAGTTGCACGTTTGAATCTCGATGTCCGGGTGATGGAGTGCCTTTGAATTTGACACTCTGGCAAGGAAAACTGCACGCAGGTGGTTCCACAATGTTCCACACGTTTTTTTTTTTTCGCATCGCATGTCATGCGGCAACAAGCAATCCCGATTGGATTCGCGTGGGAAACTTTCCGCTCGCCTGGGCTGCGATGGATCTAACTGTCATTACCTATTCATCTCCACGTGAGCCTCGGCTCCGGCTGCCTGAACCAAACAAATTTAAGAAATGCGGACCTGTCAAATATGGGACGCGCACTAGACATTGCAAAAAAAACCTCAAGAACTGCACATATGTTCCCTTTCACATATTCAATCAAACTCCAGATATCAAGCAATGTCATGAATCAGACATGTTGATGAAACATACGTGTATAAAACAAGTGTGTGTGTGTGTACCGTCTAGACGTAAAACTTCTTTTACTTATTACACATGTATATACGCGGGGGGTCACCGGGGTCCCTGGGAGGTCGGTGACCAACGAAGACACCTCCCGGGGACCCGTGTAAAGGTACCCGCGGGACTGTGGTGACGCACCTGGGCGCAATTGTAAGACGCAGCTGGTGGTCACCATAGTCCCATATATATATATTTCATCCATATCTAATTAACTAATCTAATCTGCATGTTTCAGGACTCAGTTCCTGCCGGATCATATAATGATCCATTCTCGTCTAGTGTGATTTCCATGGTGGCTCCGACATGGTGCCATGGAGCCATTTGAGGCAACCCTTTTTAGGGTGAGTGATGACTGTCTTGACTTCCGAATTTACACATTTTAATTTGGTAATTCATTTAAGTAAATTGCAACAGCTGGCCTTACGGTTTGTCAACCATTTTGAGATCTCCTGCTGCTCCGGATGCCCCAGGGATTCCTCGTCGATGTGCTTCTTCTACTGTGAAGCCGTACCGAACTTCAGAAACCTCCTTTTTTTCGCAGCTGCTTTTGACGATCCATGACCACAGCATTTAATACAGGAATCAGGCAGGCACACGTCTTGCAGGTGTGGTTTTCTTGCTTTTTGGTTCTCTGGTGAGGTGAAACATATTGTGCACCTAATTCGTGGGAATTTGTAAGCCGTTATATGCCCTTGTGGCTGACTGGAACACGGGCCTGGATTGGCACAACGCACGACCCGTAGGTTTAGGAGCTGAATCCTGGTTTTTGTTTTGTTTTTCACTAACTAGTTCCCCATTGTTCCCCTATCTCATGCTCTCTTCCCTCCCCAGGTAGGTGGCTCCGTCGCGTGCTGAGGTTTTTGTAGGTTTTCGCTGTGGCAGGTTGGTTCAGGCGCTTCCGTCTTCCCCCCCCTCCGCTGGTCTTGGTCCGTGTCCGTCGACCCTCCGCTTTTCTCTTTTCCCTGGTCTTTTCAGGGTTCGCCCGCTCCGGGCTAGGTGTGTTGGTGTGTGTTTGCTCCTTCCCTCTTCTTTTGCGTTCCCCTCTTCGCGTCCTGGTTAAGTAACGTTCATCTCATTGTCACTCTCATCTCATTTTCATCCCCCGTTCATCCTCACTTTCATCTCATTTTTACGCGCACCGCCCTGCCGGAGGCAGGGTGTGTGTGTGTGTACCGTCTGAATAGACGTAAAACTTCTTTTACTTATTACATATGTATATACGCGGGGGGTCACCGGGGTCCCTGGGAGGTCGGTGACCAACGAAGACACCTCCCGGGGACCCGTGTAAAGGTACCCGCGGGACTGTGGTGACGCACCTGGGCGCAATTGTAAGACGCAGCTGGTGGTCACCATAGTCCCATATATATATATATATTTCATCCATATCTAATTAACTAATCTAATCTGCATGTTTCAGGACTCAGTTCCTGCCGGATCATATAATGATCCATTCTCGTCTAGTGTGTGTGTGTGTCAAATAGCCTTTCTTGGAACATGTCGACATAGTATTTGTTTTCTCGGAAGAATCCTGCGCATTGCTCTTGGGAAAATCAATCTCTTGTCCGTGGAAGTGTTTGACCAATGTCGCACCCCTGTTTGCGGTGTTTCACATGCAGAGAGGAAGGAACTGAACTGCTGCAAAGTTCCCAGCGTCAAATCCAAGGTTAAAAGTACAGACGGGCCCGGGTCGTGTAAGGTGCAAGCGAAACCAATTTGCTGCTTGGATTGGATATTAGGGCAGGTGGTCATCCGTTTCTTTGGTTGCGAACGGTAAGTTGGACATGAAATGGAGATGTTGAAGAAACTCAATTTTTTATATTTTTTTCTTGTTCATCTCTGCACATCCATACTTGTTTGGAATTTCTTGTTGGGAAAACTTCAAGGCATCAATAAATCGATGGAATAAACAGCTGTCCTGATGCCCCCAAAGTACAAAAGACTGCACTTTGATCATGTGTTGAAAACTCACTGTGCATGTTGTTCACCACAAGGATACTCAATAGAATTATATAGAACAAATTGCTGAGAAATTGTGAGCACGCACCCAAAGGTTCAGCACCCACTTGGCCAGGTTGCTGCACAGAAGAAACTTTGAAAAAAGACCTTGCGAACGACGCAAACAAAAACTGTAAGAAGCACAAGTGTGGGCCGAAAATCAATTACTGGCCAGTCAATGCTTTAAGGTTAGTGCCGAAAAAATCGGATCAGTACGAGGATGATCCTGATCATCCTGGCTGGCCGCCGCGTGAATTGATTTTTGAATACAAGCCAGTCTGGCCTAACTATGACCCGTTCTGGGAATGTCCCTTGGTCTTGAAGCAAAAGGACGGCACTACATTTGCCAGAAAACGCGTGGATGAGCAAGCGAAGGAGAAGTGCACCGGCTACAAAGAAAGGATAGTCGAGTCAAACAACTGGAGTGACGAGTTGATGGCCCGCAAAGCTCGTAAAAAGTTCTGTTTTCAGAAAACCTACTATGAGCCAGCTTGCGAAATTGGAAATGTAGAGTACAGAGCTTTCAATGGCCAGCGGCTGGATGATGCTTTGCACTGTCCTGCCGGCTACAAGAGCAACATCCCAAATGATCGCTTTGATTCGAAGTGCAATTGTGATTCTAAATATTATTTCAACTCTGAAGACAATGCTAAAATAACTCTGGAGGTGCCATAACCTGTGCGGACAGGGCGCAGTGTGGAAAAGCTGCAGAGCCAAATTTGGGTTTCAGATCATGTTCATTGACAACCTGTCCTCTTTCTCAGAGATGCGCAATAAACGTCTATCGTAATCTGAAGTCTTTGTTGCATACTTCACAGATTGAGACACGTGCAAAGTGGCCAAAAATTGTCCAAAGGTGAGGTGTTGCATTGACTCAAGGACTCAGGGGTCCTCCAAACTTGCAACTCCGTAGGAATTCCATTGGACATCGCTGACGTTCAGTCAGCCAACTTCACACCTTGAGCATAGCTCCAGCCAGAAGTGCACAGCGGCCGTCAGGGTACAAGGAGGTCGACTGCATCTACTTTTCCCCTCTGGAGGGCAATGTGAGGAACCCTGCAGAGGAACCCAGTATCAAAGTTGGCGTGAGAATCACGAAACGTACTATACTATCCTGAGAGAAATGGTAGCTCATAATGGCTCATGGTGGCTTGCAGTGGATATTGTTGCTCATGGAGGATTGGTCGTAATGCTTGGCATATCCAAATTGATCTGTGGCCCCTGCTTCGCTTGTTCGGAGAGTTGCGAATGAAGTTCACGCAGGGAGCGGCTCCCTCGCTGTTTTCAGGTTTTTCAAGCCTTCTTCAAATCATATCAAGTCAAATTTCAACAGGTTTCATGGAAAATATATCATTTAGATCACCAGGCCAACTGGGATCACACCGAATCATCGCATTGTGTCAACCTCAGTCTTGTTCACAGCTCAGGACTGGACCGAGAACTGAAGGAATGCAAGGGGAGTTGGGGTTGAATTGTGAATATGCTTGAGCCATGCTTCTAGAATCTAGCTGTTCCCCCGCTGACGACAGAAGTTGTGTTCTGAAGTTGTGTATATCGATTTCTTTACTGTTTGAGTGAAGATGGGATCTTCTTGTTTTTGTTTCTATCTTTGATCGAGTTCTATGATCGGACCATCCATTGGCAAATGCAGAGGCTGCGTTTTGCGTGAGGTTTGGTCAAAACAGGCAGCACACAAATTTGGACGGAGATATGTTCTAGTCGTATCCAGAAGTGGAACGGACACACTTCTCCATGAACAGTAGAATTCATTCGAAGTGTCAGAGCAAACTACGTCGGCTTTCAAGGGAAAACCTTTGTTTGTCGCAGTGCAATGAGGAGGCTGAATTCCTGCACCCAACTGCAGGCTGACTGGCTCTGAGGATCTCCTGGAGTTGCAGAAGCTAATGGTTTCAGTATGTTTCAGAAAAGTCAGACTTTTGCTCAGTGCCCCTGGGCTGTACTCAGAATGGTTCAGATTCCTTGCTGAGGCTGAAGATCTGACATTGAGATATACTAAAGAATTCATTAGGGATGAGGATCATTGAGGATCATTAGAAATCTCAACGGGCTGTAAATTCCAAGAGCATTCCAAGTGCAGCAACACTCTTCTGAGTCTACAAGCTACTTGCGGGCCGCAAAGCCTCATCGCAAATATAGATTTGTTCCATGGATGCGGAGACGTTGGCAGAGACCAGATCAAGTCTCGCTTGTCGAAAAGTTGCAAACTTATGTACTTTCTCCGGTAAGTTTACCGGGAACCAACACTTCCAGAGCAGATCTTCAATGATCTTCAGCTGTGCTAGATTCGGTGGGAATAAAGCCAAATTGGCAAAGAACCAAATTGGCGGTTGCCCAGTTTCGAAGTGACCTCGGCACTGGGAGAAAGGGAACACCGACGGGATCATCTTCGAGAAAGGGGATCATTTTGGTGGATCGGAGCATACGGTGGGAAGTTGAGGCACACCTAGGCACACCGAGGCACCTATAAGATCCTGTAACTTCAATGCACCACACCATGCCATGCTTGCCATGGACTATGCAACAGAATGCAGCATGCCTCACTTTGCTGAAACTGATTTCATTGCATCCAACTATACAATGAGAGATAGGTCAAAATACTAGCATGCATCAAAGCTGTAGTTTGTGCAACTGATCAGGAGGAGAGTCAAATGCTGACGTAGTTTTGCTCAAGCTGTGAAATGAGAAAGGCAACACAGGTCGGACAACAACCATCACATCATCACAGGCTGCCATGTGGCAGCAGCGCATAGGATGAGATCTTGTGACTCAATGTTTAAACGACTTCAGATGAGCATGCCCAGAGGACACAGCTCAGCCTTTATAGCATATCTCATCATCATCTCATCATCTCATCGCTTTGACGCTTTGACGCGCCATGAGAGCCAGGAATCCGTCGCAAAGTCACGACAGGCTGCACTGGAGCGAACGTGGCAGCAAGCGGAGGAAAGAGCAGAGGCACGGCTGAACTCATCGGAACATCCGTCGCCAAAGAATCACCGACATCGCCGTGACATCGCAGTTTGAGCACCCCGTGACCCTTTGTGAGCCTGGCATAGACCATTCACATCACACCAGACACTGGGCATATCTTAGGTCTTGGCCTCATCTAACTTACCATTGATTCATTTATGATGATTTCTTGGTGAATTCTTTGGATTGTCAAATGCTCCGACTGCAGAGTCCCTTAAAACATGACCCAAGAGATGCCATGAGATATCTCAAGCTCAAGCTAAAGGTCACAGAACTGAGATGTCTTTGGAGCAGGCATTGCAGCAGCAGGAAGCCTTCAGGCTGAAGAAGGTCTGGGCCGAGCAGAAAGGATTTCTCTTTGGCCACAAAAAGTTGATGAAAGAAGCGATTCAAAGAGTTCTTGATTTTTATTGTGTTCTGCGGTGCAGTATTTGTTTTATCGAACTCACAAGATTTCAGATTTCGGCAGCAAAACTGCATGTTGGGAGGCAATTTTCAATTTTCGAGACCAATATGACCAGCAAGGTGATAGCTTCAACCGTTTGCAACCCACAACCATGACTATAAATGCACCTCAAATCGTACGAAGCTAACAAATAGTGGCCTGCAAATTGTACTGAACTTTTTTTTGTTGCACTTTTGGGTTCCCATTAGTTTCCTTCGGTTTCCTATTGCGGATTCCCACCTGCACAGAGGTCAGGTCAAGATATGAGCCACAGTCCATTCAGTCCATGAACCAAGTTGCGATGTGTTCCGTGAGGTCCAGAGGTTTTTAACGTGGTGGAATGCCGAAGCTCCAAGCAGCTCCAAGCACTCGGTACCCGGTGCTAGTGATGAGTCCTAGGAGCCCTAGGAGTCCTAGACTGTGAGAATCTTGCGATGGTGCCATTGTGCCCACTCCAGAGTGAAGAAGTGCGCCAGCTGCAGTGGAGATTAAGCTGAAGCGAAAACTCTTGGAATTGGGATTCTCTTTGATGATCTTTGATGTTAATAGTCGATGATTTTTGTAGTGATGGAGTTCTTTCTGGCTCATGCTGCAATGCCAAAGGTGTGACAAATATGACTTTGCAGAACTTGTCACAAATCTTGTATGTTGAATCCAATTGCCACAACTTTCAGACATGTTATATAGATATACACATCAACCACAATTCTTCACTTTCAGGTGTGACCACTGCGGCACCCTGGCTCAAATTCTGTTTGCTGCCGGTCTTACTTCAACAGCCGTGGCCCCGTGGCGATGCCATGTTGGCCAAGGCGATCCCGGCGATCCACGGGGGTTTCCTGGCCGGTTGGGCCCGCTGGTGCCGAGGGTTTCCCATGTCACCAGTGACAGCGCCAGGTGCTGACCGCATGCAGATGGCCAGGTGGGGCGGAGATGGGGCGGATCCAACCACAGATACTATCCATGGGGGAGTTCACCAACACAACTTGGAAAGTTCTCCGCAAAAAAATGAAGATTTATATAACTTGATTCAACCAAAAACTTTTGCAAAAAAATTGAAACAAAGCATACAGTACTGAGCAATGGACTCCAATGATGGCGGTTTTGTAGTGAAGTCTCTCAACCAACTACTGGAGGTCCTCTCCTGTCGTCCAAGGCGAAAGACCATCAATTAGCCCATCTGGTGAATGGTAGCGCTACCATGAGACGCCTTGAAAGGTCCACATTGAATGGTGGACTATCGCATCAATGTGTTTGGTTGCCATTTTGCCACCCATAGATTCTGAATGAAATGATCTGAAACTTGGACAGTTCGGGTTTGACCACAAGTCTTTGCTCAGCACGCTGGTGTAAGCAGCTCAAACAACGCCACACTTTTTTTGAGTCCTGCGCCCTGAGTCGCAATGCTCCTTGTATTTCCAGTGGGGTAAAGGAGGCATGTGCCGTGTGGTGGCTATTTGACAATAGATTGCATGGCTACTTAGCTTAGCCTCAAAACCATTCAAAACCAATATCCAAAGATTCAGTAACAGCAGCCCCCTTCGACTAATCCAAGGATGAAGTGTACCCCCAAGGCATCCAACTTCTGCCTGCCCTCCAAATCCTGCAATTGTCCGCAAGACATCGCAAGACCACCCTTTCCCCCTCCACCGAATACAGTTTGATTTTTGGTCGTGCCCTGGCAAACCAATTGTTGTCATGAATGCTTTCAGGAAATCCCTATGTCATCGCCATGCTTGCCTGGACATTTTCCCTTCCCCTTAAACCAGCCATTTTGCTGGGGCATCCACTGCTGAGCTGCTGAGGTCTATGACCAGGGCATCCCTCGCACCAGCCCTGTGCCGTGGCATGCGTCATGGCTTAGTTCCCCCAGCCGCGGCTGCAGTGCAACGAAGATTCTTGAACCTGCACGAGTATCAGGCAGGGAGTTGATGGCTGATGATGGATGATGGAGATGCTTTGGCCCTAGGCCCTAAAAAGAAAAGAGATGACACATGATGAAAACAATATTGATTGATGTCATTTGGTTGGTTCCTCAAAATGCAAGCATGCCAAATCCTGGCAATTGAGCAGGGAAACCGCTTTTTTCTCACGGCTTTCCTCAAGCTTTAGACCCCTCCATTTTTAGCTGTTGAAAGATGATACCCACTTGCGACGTGCTCTGCTTCCAGGCCCAGCAGATCTTTCAGAAGCTCCTTGGCTGATCCATCAACTGCCTCAACCACATCAACCCCAGGCAAAAATGTGAGCCTTGGAGTCCAGCAACGGCCAAATTCTCAAAAAAAAACGTCAGCCCAGAATCAAATTGAAATCTATGAATAGATCGAAATATGAAATGATATGAAATAATCATAGACCAAAACTGAGATCATAGAATTGGATGATGGGAAAATTTACAGGAAAGCCCTATATTTGATGGTAAAAACCATGGTTTCCTGTAGATTTTCCCTTAAACCAATCCAGTGATGAGATCATGACTGAGACATTTCTCCCATATCTTGGGCCCCACAGCCGAGGTTCGGCGTGGGCGTGCCCAAGAATCTGCCGGCCTTCTCACCCGATGAAGCCGTGGCGAAGGCCAACGAGATGCCTGGAGATGAGGTCGTGGTGCCGCAGCTGCAAGATGATCTGAGCCGATTGGCGGAGGAACAACAGATTTTTGATGATTTTTGTATAATGTGTATATATATATATATTAATCATATATACAAAATACGCATATACAATATACGCATATATAATATACATGGTTACATTCTATGTATAGAATTGTATATATATAGATATAATTAATTAATATGTTTTCAATTTTTGTTCCCAACACGCAAATTTTTGATGGGACATGTTATCCTTAAACTGTCTCAACCCATGAATTTTGGGTTGTGATCCATTATACCAGTTTCAGTCAAATATTTTTTGAGGTAGTTCTGGAGGGATGTGGAGGGTTGGAAAGATCTTTTCGGAGTTGAGACAAATCCGACTTGCCACCATTTGTCACCTCCCTCCTTCGCGATTTTGCCTTACTCCTTTGAATGTTTGATGAAGCAAAATATACTTCGGAACAGGGATACATGATGCAATCCTAATAGATCCTCAACATCCCAGTAATGGATCACGTTTTAATGGATTCATATCTATTTCTTTGCCATTCCTTACCTTTAAATATCATTAGATCCGGCAAGATTAATGGAATATTATTGGAGATTATATCCCATTCATATTCCATATGCCATGGTATTGAGTAACCTGTAAAACCCACTTAAAATCCTATGAACATATCCGATAGGAAACATGAAGCCTCCGGGGATTTGCCCGAGGTGAAGGCGCAGGTCTTGGCGGGCGGACGTGGCTTGGGCTACTTCAAGGAGCCTACCTGGTAGTATAATTGGGGTTTGGGCATTGTAATTAACTTCAGTCAATATTTTTTTGACCATTTTGGGAGGAAAAAAACCCGCGGTTTCCGTTTTTTTTTTGGTGGGGGCAACGGCCTGTCGCCGGTGGCCCCTGATCCACGTGGCAGCCAGCAGGAGAACAACTTCCAGGGAGGTGTGCACATTGTCCCCAAGGACAAGGTCAAGGAGGTAGCCGAGAAGATGTTGGGCAAGACGCCCCTGGGCGTCAAGGTGATTGGTTTTTGTATAGCTTAAGCAGCTTAAGTATACTTAGGTAATTTGGATATGCTTAATGATAGCGAACCATCTACTCGCAAACAACAACCATGGATGGCTGGTATTGTGCTGATACAGTACACACGGATGATATTGCCAAAATCCACCAAATGATGTAAGCACCCATTGTGTGATTTTCTCTAGGGCCTTCACTTGAGATTCTTCACCAAATTTGTTTGTTGCCACCCCTGTTTACTCTGAGGCTTATTACCAAGCAGACTGGAGAAGAGGGAAAGCCAAACAACACGTCACTTGGCTCTGATGCCTGCTACCTAGCAACTAGTAGTGGTTAGTTGGTTGTATCCCAAATGTATATAATTCCACTTAACTTTTTCGTCTTGTTTCACTCCAAGTTGTTGGGAAGAGATCCTCGCCAACGTTGGTGATAGTATCTCCATCATCGAAGGTGGTTATATCACCACTCATAAATCATCTTGCATGGAGCTTACCCATAGTTTGTAGTGACGGCTCGTTTGAAAGCCACTCTGCAAAAGTGATAGTCTCTGTGGCCACTCCTAGTAGAGTTCGTTCAATCAGTTCACACTAGGGGACATTTGCAAGAAAAATCCACGAGGATGGATGGTAACACAATGTCTTCCCGTAGATCCTCCCCTCAAGCCAGTCATCACTGTTTATATCCCAATGATTACTGGTATCCCCAGGTATCATTGGTTACATCATGTTACATGGCAAATTTTGCACCTAAGACCCCATGAAATATTGATTCAGTTCTGGTTAAGACTAATCATTAGTAGTTTACCCCCAATCCATCACTGGTTGTATCCCAAATTATCAATGGTTATAGTCGTAGTTTTATCCCCGATGGTCTATTAATGCTATATTTTCATGGTTATTTCCACTGATTGCTTATTCCAAATCCAATTATCCCCAATCATTAATGGTTAGATTCCGGGTGTGAATCGTTAAAATCCAGTTTATAATGGGAAATATGGTAAAAACCCAAGTCTTAAGAGTTTTCATGGTTAACCCACCAGGTTTTTTCCAAGCGATCTCCATTGGTCGTCACTCGGTAGGGTGCTACTGGCCGAGAAGGTGTCCATCAAAGACGAGCCTTGGCACTAGACTATCAAAACCATGACATACTTGGGGATTGTGGAAATGGGATGATCTTCCTATTTTTTACATTCTTTAAATACCGGAGGATCATCGTTTTTCATGTTTGAAAATTCGGCAATGCTTCGGGCCTGATGATTTTGCTTTGATCTGAGGAGAAGTATTTCGCCATCCTCATGGATCGTGCCAGTGGAGGCGGGTGTTCACCTGTAAGCGAAGAGATATCATCAGTCGCAATAGGGGAAATCAGTGGTACATTGAGCGAAACATATGGGTTTTTATGGGTTTCTATTGGATTTTATCGAAATTTCTCCCCCATATCCTGATATCAACTCGCCAGAAGCCGTGGTTTTGTATTGGATCTATCATGATCTATCCATTTCAGATCATTTCAGCAGCCGGGGCAGGTCCCCTGATGATTGGCAGCAAGACTGGTGGCACCTCCATTGAGGCTCAATGATGGGACGTTCACTGCTGGTTTGGTTGGAGGATGATGAATTTTCTAACCATTGATAATTGGGGATATAACTATAACTATACTGGAGGATGATGTTTAGCATGCAAATTCGATCTTGTCATGAAGGTTGGTTGGATGCTGGATCAACTAGTTAGATGTATTGCCTGATAAAAGAGAATGATAGCGGGCGTATGCTGTGCGCTGACATGGCATGACTGTTACAGTAATTGAGTTTTATTGAATTTCCTACTACCCAAAAGAATGACAGGATAGAACAGTAGGTATATGACTAACCATTTTGTATCAAGATAAATATTTGATAATATTTGGATAGTTAGATATCATCATGGTTTATTGTATTATGATGGGATACAAATTGTGGTATATACTAGTGATACAACCATTATTTCCTGTATTACGGTATACAACCATTGACACATTATCATGGGATACAACATGGGATATTTTTCGTCTAATGGTGGAAACAACTTTTATTCATATTGCTTGTATCACTAGTATATCACAATATACTATAGTGATATAATCATTACACCATACATTATAGTACCTAATGAGTAGTGGCCATATTATTATGGTACCTAATGATCATAAACACTATATACACAATCTATTATTGATACTCCATATTAAATTATATTCATATTGATACCCCATGATATTCCATGATATCCTCTGGTGAACTAACATAGCTATGGAAAATCACCATGTTTAATGGGAAAATCCACTATAAATAGCCATTTTCAATTGCTATGTTAGTTCACCAGAGGGTATCCCATTATAATACATCTATTGTACCCCCATCATACCCCCATGGCCAATCGCCCGAAAAAAACTGCTTGGGATCCGTCTTCCAGGACATCGCCGCAGCAGATCCCACGGCCATCATCCGCACCCCGGTGGACATCATCGACGGCATCAACCCCGCGGCGGCTGAGAAGATGGCCACAGAGATGGGCTTCACCGGAGCGCAGGAGGGGGATACAGTAGGATTTTTTGTGGATGGAATGATGTAAATATATGTAAATCATGGAGAAAAATGGGATTTTTAGGGTCATAATTATTTTGCATCATGGAATCTTGATGGTCATAATTGTCATAGTCCTTTGCGGGCAATAAACAAGTCTAGTACCAGACAGTATTCTACTGTAAACGGTTCTTCAAAGGAATTCCATGAGGGACTGGAGTGGTGGAAGAGTTTCAGAACATCCAGCAAGCGTTAGCCAACCAGGTGACACCTTTTCGTACCCCATTCTTGAAACAAACCCAGTTGACATACTTGCCAAACCATCAGACGCGTCAAGGCGAAGGAAGCAGCCAGGGCCCCAGAAAGAGGACTCGAATTTGATGGATTTAGTTCGAATGGCGAAGACATCTCAGACTGTAAATCTTCGTGTATTTGACGCAACAAACCAAAGTGGTAGAAGACTGGAAGACAGTGATTTCCCATGATTTCCCACTTGGTCCAACTACGCTGGAATGTGAGGCCACATTGATGGCAAATCTGTACAAGGCGCGCTGTGTCCAAGGGGTTGCATGACATAAAGTGTCAACTGATCCAGGGGTGCAGCAACGGGTCATCCAACCATGATCCTGAGATATCATAGATATCCAGGTGCTTTTTCATCCTCCATGAGGATCCAACTTTCAAACCTCTGTTGCTTGATGATCATAGGGGATGATATACTACCCAATGAGTTTATGGAATTATCATCCAGGATGGGAATTCGCTATGAAAAACCCAGCATTTCAAAGAGATGGCTTGTAGAATTCCATTGGGTGGTAGTATGATGATCCACTATCCATCCATTCTTATTACTGTATGAATCCCTATGAACTATCATTAACTAACCATGACTCACCACTATTTTCATGAAGAATGATCCATGAGTATCATCCCATGGCCTATCATCCCATGGCCCATGGCTATTATAACTATAACCCACTGTTCATCAATGAACAATCATCCGCTATCATGAATCTCATGGAATCCCTACTAACACAGAATTACAGGAAAGCCCGTCATATTTGATGGTAAAAGCCATATGGTTTCCGGTGTTCCGATTTTCCCCTTACAAACCAATAAAAGTTGATACTAAGCAACATCAACTATTAAATTAACTAAATATTGGGATTACGAAATAACTGGATGTTAGTTGATCCTTTATATTGGGATTATTACTAATTACTAAATATTGGAATTACTAATATTGGGATGTTACTAACGCTAGCGTTAAGTCGTATCAGCTTGTAAAAGTCGTATCGGGAGGCCGTGCGCCTGGAAAAAGTTCAAGTTTGGCATCACCGCAACTTTTAGTAATTGAACAATTTCATTGTTTTGGGGCCGTGCGGCTGGAAAAAGTTCAATGTTTTTTTATTGCGTTGATTTAAAAAAAAATATTTGATCATTCTTTCAAGGGGGCAAACGCTGGTTGCTGCTTGCCTGCTGCTTGCTTGCTGCTTGCCTGCTGCTTGCCTGCTGCTTCCTTGCTGCTTGCCTGCTACTTGCTGCTGCTTGCTGCTGCTTGCTGCTGCTTACCTGTTGCTGCTCACCTGCTGCTCACCTACTGCTTGCCCGTTGTTGCTGCTCCTTGCTGCTCCTTGCTGCTGCTTGCTGCTCCTTGCTGCTGCTTGCTGCTGCTTACCTGTTGCTGCTCACCTGCTGCTCACCTGCTGCTTGCCTGCTGCTTGCCTGCTGCTTCTGCTCCATACTGCTGCTTGCTGCTACTTGTTGCTGCTTACCTGCTGCTGCTCACCTGCTGCTCACCTGCTGCTCACCTGCTGCTCACCTGCTGCTCACCTACTGCTTGCCCGTTGTTGCTGCTCCTTGCTGCTCCTTGCTGCTGCTTGCTGCTCCTTGCTGCTGCTTGCTTCTGCTTGCTGCTTGCTGCTTGCTGCTTGCTGCTTGCTGCTTGCTGCTTGCTGCTTGCTTGCTTGTTTGCTTGCTGGCTGGGCTGGCTGGCTGGCTGGCTGGCTGGGCTTGCTGGCTTGCTGGCTTGCTGGCTTGCTGGCTTGCTGCTGCTGCTGCTGCTGCTGCTGCTTGCTGCTGCTTGCTGCTGCTTGCTGCTGCTTGCTGCTGCTTGCTGCTGCTTGCTGCTTGCTGCTGCTGCTTGCTGCTTGCTGCTGCTTGCTGCTTGCTGCTGCTTGCTGCTGCTTGCTGCTGCTTGCTGCTGCTGCTTGCTGCTGCTTGCTGCTGCTTGCTGCTGCTGCTGCTTGCTGCTGCTTGCTGCTGCTGCTGCTGCTGCTGCTGCTTGCTGCTGCTCTGCTGCTGCTGCTGCTTGCTGCTTGCTGCTTGCTGCTGCTTGCTGCTTGCTGCTTGCTGCTTGCTGCTTGCTGCTGCTTGCTGCTCTTGCTTGCTTGCTTGCTTGCTTGCTTGCTGCCTGCCTGCCTACCTGCGTGCCTGCGTGCGTGCGTGCGTGCTTGCGTGCTTGCGTGCTTGCGTACTTGCGTGCTTGTGTGCTTGCGTGCTTGATTGCTTGCCTGCCTGCCTGCCTGCTTGCTTGCTTGCTGCTTGCCTGCTGCTTGCTTGCTGCTTGCCTGCTGCTTGCTTGCTGCTTGCTTGCTGCTTGCTTGCTGCTTGCTTGCTGCTGCTTTTTGCCTGCTGCTTTTTGCCTGCTGCTTTCTTGCCTGCTGCTTTCTTGCTTGCTTGCTTTCTTGCTTGCTTTCTTGCTTGCTTTCTTGCCCGCTGCTTGCCTGCTTGCTTGCCTGCTTGCTTGCCTGCTTGCTTGCCTGCTTGCTTGCCTGCTTGCTTGCCTGCTTGCTTGCCTGCTTGCTTGCCTGCTGCTTGCTTGCCTGCTGCTTGCTTGCCTGCTGCTGCTTGCCTGCTGCTGCTTGCCTGCTGCTGCTTGCCTGCTGCTGCTTGCCTGCTGCTGCTTGCCTGCTGCTGCTTGCCTGCTGCTGCTGCTGCTGCTGCATGCTGCTGCTGCTGCTGCTTGCTGCTGCTGCTTGCTGCTGCTTGCTGCTGCTTGCTGCTTGCTGCTTGCTGCTGCTTGCTGCTGCTTGCTGCTGCTTGCTGCTGCTTGCTGCTGCTTGCTGCTGCTGCTGCTTGCCTGCATGCTGCTTGCCTGCTGCTGCTTGCATGCTGCTTGCCTGCTGCTGCTTGCCTGCTGCATGCTGTTGCATGCTGTTCCCTGCTGCTGGTTGCCTGCTGCTTCTTGCCTGCTGCTGCTTCCCTGCTGCTGGTTGCCTGCTGCTTCTTGCCTGCTGCTGCTTGCCTGCTGCTGCCTCCTCTGCTGCTTTGTGCTGCTGCTTTGTGCTGCTGCCTCCTGCTGCTGCCTCTTGCTGCTGCTGCTGCTGCTTCCGCCTGCTGCTGCTGCTGCTTCCTCCTCCTGCTGCTGCTTCCTTCTGTTGCTGCTGCTGCTTCCGCCTGCTGCTTCCTCCTCCTGCTGCTGCTTCCTGCTGCTGCTGCTGCTGCCTCCTGCTACTGCTTCCTCCTGCTGCTGCTGCTGCTGCCTCCTCCTGCTGCTGCTGCTGCTTCCGCCTGCTGCTGCTGCTGCTGCTTTCTCCTGTTGCTTCCTGCTGCTGCTGCTGCTTCTGCTGCCTCCTGCTGCTGTTGCTTCCTCCTGCTGCTGCTTCCTCCTGGTGCTGTTGCTGCTTCCTCCTGCTGTTGCTGCCACTCGTGCAAACATTTTGCCGAAACAGAAAATAACAGTCTCGGTCGCCTTGTTTGGCGCTGACGGGAGGTATGGTCGGGAGACACCAGCAGAGAGAGGGAATGTTTCTGGCTGGTTGGAATGAAACATTGCGGTCGCATAGCGCGGTTGTGTCGCTGTGCTCACCATCTGCGCCATCTCGCACCATCTCGCAAGACGGCGCAGACGGCAAGACGGCGCGAGACGGAACAGACACAACAGACGGCGCAGACGGAGCACCGACAAAACCTGCCACGCTTTCCGCCCGCAATAGAATGAAGGTTTTTTTCCAATTCGTAATTCCTGGGTGGATAGGACAACAAACTTCTTGAGAACTGTCCATGACATTGATGCACGTTGCGCCAGCCATAGATTTGGTTGCGGAAAACAAGGGGCCCCCATATCCTTATATCATCCTAGATCATAGCCCTGCCAATAGGATTTGCTACAGCTAACCCACTTGCATTGCAAGAAATTTGAGGCTGTACCAATAGGGGTTTGATTTGGTCACGCGACGCAGGACATCAATATAATATATTCAAATCCAATAGGATTAGCTGCCGAGAATTTGTTTGTATTAACTTGTGCCCTTCAAAATCATCGCTGTGCGCAATGCTTCGGCTACTTTTAACTACATCTCCAAGTATGGATGGAACAGGCTGTGCCATGGTGATTCTTCTTCCCTGATGTGACTTTCCACTACCTGATGTGACTTCTCCGTATCGCCGCCGTGCCATGGGGATGATGTGACTTTTCCCGCCTGATGTGACTTAAGTACGGTGCTAGTAGTTAACTAACTACCCCTTTTTAGGTCTTCATCGAGTGCGACTGCACCATGCTGGAGATCAACCCCCTGGCCTCGTTGACCGATGGCCGCGTCCTGGTCTGTGACTCCAAGGCGTGGCGTTTTTCGGTGCACGATCACGGGAATCCTGATATCACGTTGCCACTTGCAAACTGAAAAATTGTGGTTTCATGGGATTTAACCACTATAAATGGTGATTTGATGGTGATTTACCCTCTGGTAATTTAACATAGCTATTGAAAATGGCTATTTATAGTGGATTTTCCCATTAAACATGGTGATTTTCCATAGTTATGTTAGTTTACCAGAGGGTAAATATTAATGCCGACACCGGATTTATAAACCCCCCCCAGAAGGTCAGGGTAGACCTTGCAAGGTCTTTTTTGGTTCCCCCCTACATAAACGGCCTCTGAACCATAAAATTTTGGATATGGCTTACGTCAATTGGCTGAAAGCGATGGGGGACATTGGGAATGAATAGGCAAATCCAAAGAAAAAACATTAGGGACATGGTGGTTGATTAATCAGGGGCAAACTCTGATTATCATTAATGGGGGACATGGGCTCATGGGGGGTACCCTTTGGGAGCTATCCAAACTGATGATTTTTATAACGAATTTAATTAGAAGTCGATCATTTGGGGAATAGTTGTTTTTTGAATTTTTCAATGATCAACTTAAACCTTAAGTATAACAATGATGATAAAAAAGGAACAAAACAATTGGAAATAAATAGAATTGGAAAGGAAAAAAAATGGATTTCAGCAAAGGGGGTTGATTAATCATGTCTTAGCCAAACGGTTTATTAATCCTGGGGGACCACCTGTTTTTAAATTGCATTTTTTTTTGGGAGGAGGAGGTTGATTAATAACGGGGTGTTGATTAATCCTGACTTGACATTAAATATCATATAAAAACAGTGGGACCCCATGTTGCCCCTTCTAAGTGTGGGAGGTTTTGATTTGGTTTTGATGTTTTTAAGCTGGGGACTGTGATTGGGGTGAAGTTAACATGCTGTGATTGCAATTCCCATCTAGCCGAATATGGGTAATGCAATGGCACGTCAATGTGGCTTTGCCAGAAAATGGTTTATCATCATTTTCCCTATTAAAACGGCCACAAATCGCGGAGTCTCCCTTGTTTTCAGACATTTTTCCATGCTGGCTGGGAAATTCACCATTTTGTAGATCATCTTCCCAGTCAAATGCCCATTTGGCTGGGGGATTTCCCAGCCATGTTTGATTAGCGGTGAGTACTCCCAGTAACCCACTCGTTGCAACGCGTAGGTGAATTTCGATGACAACGCGTCCTACCGGCAGAAGGAGATCCATGAAAAGCGAGATGTGAGCCAGGAGAATCCCATTGAAGTAGAGGCCAAGAAGTATGATCTCAACTACATCAAACTGGATTCTCATCTGCAGGTCATGAGTCATGTTATAATATGTTGATTAACCAATATGTCTTTGATTCATAACATGTGTGTATGTGTATATCATCTTGTAACATGTAAATGTAGAGTGCGAGCCACCCGTGATGTATCTGCTTTCCACCATTCTGATGCTGTACCATGACCAGATGAATGAAGACATGGGTGGGTTGGGGATGGCTCTGCACTGCACTGAGGACGGCAACGTGGCGTGCATGGTGAACGGCGCTGGGCTTGCCATGTCCACCATGGACACTTGGATAATTTTGTGGACGCATTTGAACATGGCCAAAAAAGGCTTGCCCCAAGGCCCCAAGCAACCGAAAGAAACTACTGTTGGGGGCCTGACCTTTAACCTAAGCTCCTGTACCCAAGGACCTCTTGAGCATTTTGGGTGGAAGCCCCGCCAACTTCCTGGACGTCGGCATCTGGGCTCAACTGCCAGGGCGCTTCTCATAGTAAGATACATAAAAGTTGTGAACGTGCCATCACCGTTTTTTTGCCTGGTTACTGATCAAGATTTACACTCTATCATTGTATTAAGATGTATTAAGTATGGCAATCTTCCCTGGGGATTTGGGATTTTGGGCGACCTTTTTTTTTGGGTCCTGACTCAGGTGGTGCCTCTACAGTGGAGACCATGACCATGGCATTCAAGACCTTTGGCGCACCAGGTGTTGGATGTTGTCCAATCAGCAATTTCACCAGCAAACATTGGTATGAAGGGGTGCATGATGGCAGATGTTTTTTTATTGTTTTTTGGTGTTTGATGCTTTCTGTTCAAGGATTGGTTTGATGGATAAGACCTTTATTATGGTTGGTTTGGATGGATTAACAATATTATCCGCTTGATGAACCAGAATTACCACTCTTATGACAATCCACTGCAGCCACTGGAGATCATGAAAGTGATCAATGATCATATTAATCTGATTCGGATAATCATAATAGTCAAAACATCTTAAACCATTCCCATCATGATTGGATCATTATTATCATCAATGATCATTAATGGATATATATTATCAATGACAATTCATTACCATTAAATGATCACTGATTACCATCCATTATTATCCCATCATTGCCATTGCATGGCCGAGGATCATCATGGGAGACCCGAATGTGCAGCGCCTCAGGGGCTTGTGATGGGACACAGCGGCACTTAGCAACCGATATCAACACCATCGCACCCCCAATTGGTATATAAGAATATATATATATATATACATATATATATACATATATATATAAGAATCGGATATAGCTCACCATCTATTGCCATATAAACATGATATATCATGATATATCATGATATATATATATATATATACATATACATATCACATATATATATAATATACACATTCTGTACATATAAGCACATGATGTATAAGATCACCATGTCATGGAAGGTTTCGGGTCAAGCCACCCCCCGCCCGTTAACCTGAGCGGATCCTGTGCGAAGCCATAGATCCGCGGGCTTTGGTGACCTTTGACTTCCGGTTGGCCTGCAACTTGGTGCTGCGCTGTGCTCTGATCAGTCCCGAGCAGGCTGGTCATCACCTGTGCTCTGATCAGCCCTGTGCTGGCTGATCATCACCTCTTGCACTGTCCACTGGTACGGGCGTGAGCTGCCCTTAATCTCACTGGCTCATTGGGTTAGTCCCACTGCACATTTTTGCTGGCACTACCCTTCAATTTTGCTTTCAATTCAATTCACATCTATTTGGCATTGTGTTTGACTGTACGGTACACGCCCTGGTCCTGCACATCATTTGGTTTTTATCGCCACCTCTGTGGGTCTCATCTTTACCATTGACTTGTCTGGAAAGCTTATGAGCCCACTGCACTGGTTTTTGCTTTCAATTTGTCTTTGTCACCATCAAGCCTTCAACGAAGCGTGCTTTGAGGAGGAAACGTGCAAAAGCAAGGTTGTCTTGGTACCTTCATCGTCGTGGATTTGTACGATTGTCCAGACTCCATCTATTGCGCATCAAGTTGACCCTCAGCAAGCACCATTCGCGAGATATCAATTTTTTGCAGAGCATCGCCAAGGAAATGTCGTACGGCCCTTGGCAGTGCGGCCATTGTCGCAAAACCGCAAAGGCTACAGCCAACAATTGCAGTCATTGCGGTGCCAGTTGGGAAGATGCAAACCCCAACTATGTCCCGCCAGCTCGTGGCCAATCCCAAAAGCAGAAGCACCAGCAATCGCAATGGGAAGACGATTCCTGGGGCTACTCTGGTTATGGCAAGCCCAAGAGCCCACGAGGTGCTCGCCAAGATCCTGCGTGGAATCAGCGACCCAAGTCACCTCGCAAAGGACGCCACAGACAGGGCAAAGGTGGTCAAAAAAGCAACTACCACCAATCCCAGCATGGATATCATGGCAAAGGCAGCCAGCACGAATCGGAGTCGCACGGGTCAGAGCATTTTGCTCCTATGCCCAATACAGCCAAAGGACTCCCACCAGAACCTCCATGGAGACCGACTCTCCCAAGCATGCCGACGTTGCCACCGCTCCCACCGCCGGTTGCACCACATCCGGACTCACAGGCTGCTCAGACGCTCACCAAGCTGACCGCCGCGATCAAGAAGAAGCCGGACCAGTACGATGCAGAAGTTCATGCAATTTTACAAGGAGCATCTATGGTGGAAGGTCTCAATGCAAAAGACCAAATGCTCAAGGCCGCAGAGGACTTAGGGAGCGCCAGGGAAGCCTTGGATGCAGCCAGGTTGGGAAGGTATCAGAACCATATCCGCTGGCGAGATTTCCTGACTTCCGCTGCAAGTCGCTGGCAGGAATATACAGCAGACTTTCAGCAGCAGGAGAAGGATTTTTCAGAAGCCATCGAACAGGCAAAGGCAGTCATGGCCAATGCTCGAGAGCGCTTCGAATCAGGCAAAGCGGCACTCTCAGAAGACGACCAGGCTGCATTCCTTGGGGAGGTTGCGGACGTCTCTATGGCAGACAGATCTCACGACAATGTCTCTGGCCATGCCTTACAAGAGAACCTCGAGACCATGGCTGCCAACCTCCAGACTCTACAGAAGTCTGCAGAGGAATCTGTCAAGGCCGAGGAACAGGCTGCAAAGAGACCACGTCTTGCAGAAGGAGAAGGTGCGACGCCAGCGGCTCCCGCCCGGAAGCCTGGCGGAAATGCCTTGGAGCCCTTTGCGGTCAGGGAAGCGCCGCCTTTTCAAGAGCCCGGCAAGTAGTGACAAATGCGTGCACTTGCTTAGGGCAGCAGATTGCGCACTTTGCGCTGCCAACTGTGGTCATGAAATGGACACACAAAATCTGCAAAAAGTGGGACTTTTTGAGTGAATGGCAGGCTACAGAAGATGCATGTGAGCTTGCGATGGAGTTTGACTACTATGCCAGCGTCCATTTTTCAGGGCATTTTGACCGGCCAAATCCAACCACTGCATTGGGGGTGCGCAGGGTTAAGTTTGGTTTGAGCATTGACCTGAGAATTGGATTTGATGATGATGACTGCTTTCAGAATGTGACAATGCCAGAGGCTGCGTTTCACGATTGGACAGAGAAGCCCTGGTCCTTGTATCCGAATGCTGAAGTCAGAGTCACTGATGCGTTTTTCAATGTTCCTGCCTTGTATCATGGTTCAGATGACGAAGTTCCTGCAACACATGAGCATGATTTTGAGGAGCATGATTTTGATGAGGCGGCTGATCTTGCGGCTGCCAATGGAGGTGATGATGCTGAGCGTGATGGTGAAGGTCGAGATCCCAATGATACAGACCCAGATGATCCTCCTGGCTCTGATAGCGATGGGCGATCCACTGATGAGGACCCACAAGCCCTGCATCTCCTTCGTTTTGAGAGGCCTCATGTCTTCGGCCATGTCGACTGGAGCACATACCATACAGTTTTGAGGGATGCTGCAAGATTGGTGCATACATGCGTGCACGTTTGGATGGGTTAGCTGACATGGAAGAGGCAGTCATTTTGCAACACCTTCATGACATTGAGATTGGTTCGCTTGAGAAACTGGTGGTTTTTGATTTAGTCATGCACTTTCGTAGTGTTGGACAACGTGTTCCACCAGCGCCTCTGGTCACTAGAAAGGTGAAGAAGGTGATCCCTCAATTGGCTCGTGCTCACGTTTTGACCCTTGTGGGCGTTGATGATTATTGCGATTGGGTGCAGCAGCAGTGCGTTGTCTATTTTGACAACCTTGTCTGGCAGCCCCGAGATCAGCGTCTGAGAGACGTTGCGCATGGTACCTATATCAAAGTTGAGGTCCCCCCGCCGCCACCACCACATTGGAATACAGAAGCAGCTGTGCGGGTTGCACGGGATGTGGGGTCCCTCTTGGGTTTTCCAGAAGCCAGCGAACTCGCTTCGCAGATTCTGTCGGCAGAGTTTGAAACCGCCCTTCCTGCCGAAGTGGGTCGACCACGTCAATTCAAACCGTGTGAGGTTGAGGATGACATTGATGTTCCCATGACCTTTCCTACCACACGTAGACAGACAGTTCGGCGCCCACGGCATGATGGAGATATGTCCTGGCTTGACCAACTTGCACACATTTTCCGCACAGAGGCTGACAATGAGGTCATTGATGGGCCACCATTGCTGTATGTGCAGACCTGGTTTATCCACCATCACCGACATCCTCGTTGTGAAGATCCACGACCTCTGCGCATTGACAACGCCATGATCACCTGGATTGAAGAGCTCAGATTTACCTGGAGAGATCGGCTTGACCGCACCATGCCCTTTTCCATCCATGTCATCCATCCTCGACCACCGCAGCCACGATATCATGGATATGGATGTCACATTCTGCTTGAACAAGCTCGACCTCCACAGCGAGTTGCAGGCGTTACTACTCATCTCTTTGAAGGGGATCACCGTGATGCCCTCTCACAATTCGCCATTTCATTGCCGAGGTTTATGCGGACACCTGATATTATTGATGATTTGGCTCTCAACCGATTTTGTGATTTTCGTCGGTGCACAATCACTGTGGCGGGTAACCCATTGCATGCTATTGTTGCGCAAGATGTGGCATCTGGATTCAGCATGATTGTCCGTATTGCATCACCTCAGGTGCAATTGCCATTGATTCCAGGAGAGCCCGTTGAGCACTTTGTGGACGTTTCCTTTTTGCAATTGCCTATGTCGAGGTCAAGTAGCAATGACCTTCCCATTGTTGACCATGCTGTGGGCCCTTCATCTCCTCGGTCTACCCAGGCGCAAATTCTTCGAGCTGAAGCGAGGCCGTTTGTTCCTGGCTCATCATTGCCATATGACACCAGTGAGTTTGTGCATGGTTTACACCAAGCTTGGACGGCACATGCGTGGAGTTGGGAACAGGAAGCAGCATCAACAGAGATTTTGGTTTGGTTTGCTGACCATGCAGCACCCATGCCTCATGGGCTACAACCTCGACGCCTACGCCTATGGCCTGACACTCAACTTTGGGAAGAGGCTATTCAACAAGCATGGGCTGATTCTATTGTGCCTGGCGCTCCCCTGGAATTCAGCATGGCGGAGCCTACTCCACCAAGGCTTGAGCCTGGCATCGCAGCTCATGTGATTCTTGTGCAACATCCCAGAGAAGATTGGGTGACATCTCTGGTCACTCTATTTGACTCCACCGGTGCTGCTGACCCCGCCCCTCATTTTCGACGGGCTGTCACCACATTTGAGCACATCTACCTCGAGCACTTGATCATCACGATGGGGTACGCTGACTCTTGCCTTCTGCGCCCATCACAATTCTTGTGCCAAGGCTGGTATCATGGTCAGGCGATCCTACCAGGTCGACCCATTCCCGGCCGCAGTGGCTACAGTATTGTGATTCAGGTCCAACGTACGCCTGTGCTTCGAGGAGCTACAGCAGCAAGCAGTGGTCATGCCACGTGCACTATGAGTCCGCTCCAGTGCCAATCTCGCCAACTTCTGGTTGCCCTTGACTCTCTGCTGCACCGGTTGCAGGTTATCCCTGATGTTGATCTCCAGAGCATTGACCCTGTTGAGAACCTTCCAGCGGCTCCTGCACCAACATCTACTCCTTCTATGCGCATCTCCATGACAGAGGTCAAGGATGCCTTGGAGCAGTATGACCGACACTTTCTGGTTCCACAACATC